GTGCGTGCGTGTGTGTGTTAATTAAATTTTCATTAAAGCAGAAATGGTGTCGCTGAAGTAGGGATTGACATGGTAATCTATAGAAAATAAAAGAGAAGCGCAGGGCAGAAGCAGAGCTTGAACGGGTGTTCTGTAAGAGTATTTGTGCTCTGTAAATAAAACATGGACCTGGAGAAGGTATAAATAATCGCGATTGGAATTGGTAGCCGGGAAATAATCGAAGCAAAGAAATTTCTGATTCAAATTTCCAAAAAAACCGAAGCGACGAAATAGGGTTTTCAAAATTGACGATCTCCTGCGATTGTGCGATCCAGATCTGTGATTCTTCCGACCCAAAGAAATTTTGCGATTTTAAGGGCAAGTTGGATCGGAAACCTTCTGGCGATCTCTGGAATCATAGAATTGTATGATCTGGATCGCGAGTTTGACTACTATGGATCCATCACTATGTAGATGAAGAGTTAAAGAGTGACTGGTTAAAATGGCATGCTTAGACTGATATTGAACATCTTTTAGTGTTTGCCATGCTAAGTTATCTCAAAATGCTTTCATAATTGTACCACGTTTTTTCATTGCATCTTTTGCCAGTTTAACGGATTTTCTTCTTGTGTTTCAGGATAGACAAACTGCTCTATTTTCTGCTACACAGACTAAGAAGGTATTTTGGAAAACTTTGGCCTTCTAAAGAAACCTTTGTTACACCAATGAAAAGAAAAAGGATATCACTCTAAGCAACTATTTAAATAACGGCTTTGATGCGTGGTTTTTAGATCATAATTTAATAGTATGAATGGATGCATATGAGTATTTGAACCACTGTAATATGTCTAAACATTTAAACTAAACATTTTACTCCGTAATTTTTATGTTTCCAATAAACACACCCACCCATTTTAATCTTTGATTTCATATTTTAGTTGTTATTACCTCCTTTTTTATTATTTATTTATTTATTGTTTTATTTTGTAATATTAATTTTATTGAGTATATATTTATATTAAATTGTTGTAATTTTCTTCCCTAATTTGATTCTTATAAATATAAATTCATATAATTTCTTAATATTTAATTTAATACGGAGTATTTTTGTAATATTTTTATTCATCAATTATATTAGAATAAACAATTAATACTATATTATAATACGGAGTATTAATTATTTAAAATAATAATAATCTAGAGTACGAGACCCTTGAATAATTAAATGAATGGATGGAAGGATGAAATGGGTTGTGAGTGTTTGTTTAAAAAATAAGGTATTTAAAGATGGATGATGTGGAGATGACACATATGAGAGACGATGATTGGATGGATGAATTGTAAAATAAGGATGCTCTTAAGATCAATCCAAGGTTGGAACTCATGACTTAAGTTTCATATTGGATGTGAATTCCTAAGGAGGGTAATTGCACAGAGTTTAATTATGTCACATACTTGATTGCATATGTTTGAAACTCTTATTTATATTAAAAATATCATTTTTGTTCTAAGTGAACTCAACAAGTATAGTTTTTTGTGCAAAGTGTTTCTTTTCCATCTATTTTCAGAATTTGTGTTTGCTTCTCCAAATAATGTGGACTTTTTACAGGTAGAGGATCTTGCTCGCTTGTCTTTTCAAACAACTCCTGTCTACATAGATGTGGATGCTGGAAGAAAGAGGGTACACAATATATCTGCTTGTGCTTCCACTTTTACTATGACGATATTTAGTTTGCGAGTAAATTCTATAATAGTTCTTTTATAACAGGGTTTTTTCCATATTTAGGCTCCGTTCCGTTCAACTTATTTTTTTTTATCTGATCTGATTTTAATAAGTTCTGATCTTGTCTGATCTGATTGGATCTGGTCTGATCTGGGATTGGATCTGATCTGATTAGATCTGGTCTGATTAATTATGATTTGATTTAAAATTTAAATCAATAATTTGATTTGACTTTATAATAACGTTTGAAAATTGTAATGATAATTCATATTTTAATATAATCAATATTTTTTATTTTATAAATATTTTTTTAATAAAATAAAATTAGTTAATTCATATATTAGAATAATCATTAATATTATAATGTAATAATATTTTTATTTTATGATTTTTTTAAATTAGAATATTAATTTAATATTTTAATAATTATTTCATATATACATTAGAATAAATATTTAATTTATATATACATTAAAAAGTAATTAAATTTAGATAATCAATATATAGAAGAGATATTATTTTTATTAAAATCTCTCATCCTTTTAAAAGATCAAAACTTTAGAAACTCAAATTACAGGTAGCAATAAAAATGTATTTTAAAAGTAAAAATTAGATTGACATTGTCAATGTATTTTAAAAATAATTTTTCCCACGTCTAATAATTAAGGATTACTTTCTCAGTTTTCTATTGAACTTGTTTCTAAAGTTTATTCTTTTTCATTTTTAAGAATAATAATAATAATAATAATTCTTGATGGGATCTGATCTGGTTTGATCTGATTTAATCTGATCTGATTGGATCTGATTTGATCTGGTCTGATCTGATTCGATCTGATCTGATCTGGTGTGATCTGATTTGATCTGATCGGATTTTAATAAGAATAAGAAAAAATAAGAAAAAAATAAGTTGAACGGAACGGGGCCTTAGTCCTTTATCATCGAATATTACGTTTGTGGTCATTCTTTTATAGGTACATTTCCAAAGATAGTTCTTTTTTGACCAACTTAACATTATCGTGTTGATTGAAGGTAACAAATGAAGGACTCCAGCAGGGGTACTGTGTCATCCCTAGTGCTAAGCGGTTTGTCCTTCTTTATTCCTTTCTGAAGAAGAACCTTTCAAAGAAAGTAATGGTTTTCTTCTCTTCGTGCAACTCTGTAAAGTTCCACTCAGAACTACTTCGATACATCGGCATTGAATGTTTAGATTATTATGGAAAGCAAAAGCAGCAAAAAAGGACATCTACCTTCTTTGATTTCTGCAAACTCGAAAAAGGCATATTGTTGTGTACAGATGTTGCTGCAAGGGGTCTTGACTTTCCTGATGTGGTATGATTTTTGAAAAAGAAATAGCGCTATACATTCCTGATATGCTCTAATAATTTAGTACAAAGAGAGAAACAATAGCTCTATGTTAAATGGTGTGTTTCTAACGAATCTACAAAATTGTTCTCATGTATACTAGCAAGTAAATCACTATCATGTGTTAACTGTATTTTCCGTAATTGTTTAAATATATGATGCTTTCACTTTCCCTGTCTGGATCCTCTGTTTTTTGAACATCCAGTGATATACACTGATGATCTTCTTTCTTTCTTTGTAGGACTGGATTATACAGTATGACCCCCCAGATTGTCCTACGGTACATAAAGATTGTTTATTAATCCCTCCACCGGATAAAACGAGTCATTTTACAAAATAAATATCCCAAGAAAGAGTTGAAGTATGGCCTTATATATATATATATATATATATATATATATATATATATATTTTGGTTCAAGTGAGAATGCGATCTTATGAAAGAAATAAGAATGAATCTGGTGCTTTAGATTGTGAGATCTAAGGGTCAAGATTGCATCAAAATTAGGTGCACCAAAATGGGTTAAAAATGCATCATGTCGAAATGCATCAAAATCCTTTGAAAATGCACTATCTCAAAATCTGAGTGCAGGATGCAATCTGAGCCGCACGATGCATCCGATCTAAAGGCTAGATTTTATTCTTATTTCTTTCACCAAGGTGCATTCTCACTATATATATATATATATATATATATATATATATATCTTATATTTTATGTGTTGTATATTCGGCCAGGAATATATTCACAGAGTAGGTAGAACAGCTCGTGGTGAAGGTGCCAAGGGGAATGCCTTGCTTTTCTTGATTCCGGAGGAATTGATGTTTCTTTCTTATCTTCAGGTCTGTTGTATTACTAGGAATTCACTTAAAAGTGACTTAGCAATATCGTATCCATGCTGGGTCAAACTGACTGAATTTCTCTCCATCATTTTGTGAAAAAAAATTAATGGAGAAATTGTTTAATCAAACAGAGCACAGCTACGCTGTTTTCATATGTGGAATCAGGGTTTCATGTACTAGAAACATCCTCCTTATGTAATAGGCTTGAATTAGTAGAAACAGCCTCCTTATGTATGAGGCCTCGGGGATTAATTTTTTAGTTATTCTATTGAATTTGTTGAATTCACTTTTTCCCCATTGGGATTTTATCTAATCTCCTAAATCCAGTTCTGACCACAAATCATTCCAGACATGGACTTCATATGTGTAAATGCAAAAAAGGTCACTCACGTCATTAATTGCGATGTGTTTCTTTATTTGGTAAATGATTTTGAGAGATATGTTCCATCTGAAATGAAAGTTATTAAGTTCTTGAGAAAGCATTAGAGTACTCATATCTGCCATCAATAAGTTTCTACTGCTGATAATTTGTATGTGGGAGTTTCTAATCTACATTTGTTTTCAGGCGGAAAAAGTACCTGTAAAAGAATATGAATTTGATAACAAAAAGCTGGCAAATGTGCAGTCTCACCTGGTAATCTTGCACGTTTTTCTTTCTTTTCATATGATTTATTTGGAGATGTTTAACCAAATATCTTTTTTGTAGGAGAAGTTGGTTTCAAATAATTTTTATCTGAACAAATCTGCTAAAGAGGCTTATAGATCATACATATTGGCATATAATTCACACTCCATGAAGGATATATTCAATGTACACCGGCTTGATTTGCAGGTATCACATTACTTATTTAGATTAGATGTCAAAAATATGCTGTGTATGAATTCATAAATGTGCCAAGACTGCTTTCAGTGCTTTGCATTTAAGGTGATAGATGGAATTCTTGAAAGTCTTTATAGGGTCACATTTATAACTAAGTTCAGAATAAACTCACCCTGTGGTTCTGGAAACTGATATTGACTATCATATGATTATGGTTACTTCCTCCGCCAATATATGTACTCTCTCCGTCCCGCAAAAGGTTTAAAAAAGTGAAATTGTGTGGTTAAAAGTGATGTAGAGGATAGAGAAAATATGGGCCACGAAAACCTTTATAGAAATGTTAAGTAGAACCATTTTTTGGTACGAACAAAAAAGTAGAACCTTTTTATGGGTCGGAGGGAGTATTTCATAGTGCACTTGAAGGAGTACACTTTAACAAAGTGAAATTCTGTGGTTAAGATTTATGTAAATTGTAAAGACACAATGTGAAGCATACAACTCACTCCTTGAAAAGAACATGATTTTTATTGTGATGCAACCGAAAAAAAGCAGTGTATTTTATTATGGGGCTGAAGGAATATTTTGCAAAACCAGGGAATGGACAGAATTGTAAGGAAATGAAAATAAAGGGCGGGGATGGATGACACTAGCTTCGTCCCTTGAAAATTTCTTAACCAGACCAGGGGACATGCTCGTTTTGATTTTTTTTTTCCAAAAATAACCTTAACCCAACAAGGGGATGTGTTCATCATGACAAACACACCTTTAGGAGATTGTCTTTTTGCTACACACACAGTAAGTTTCAACTTTTACCCTTTTCTTTTGTGGGCTGGAAGTGTGACTTTGACTGTCTTCTGGCAGGCGGTGGCGGCGTCTTTCTGTTTTTCATCTCCCCCAAAAGTAAGCTTGAATATAGACAGCAATGCGTCCAAGTTCAGGAAGAAGCGCAAAACCGAAGGAAGATCGAATGGGTTCAGCAAGGACAGGCCTTATGGGAAGTAAAGTGGTGGGGATGACAAGTGAGGTCTGCAGCTAAAAATGGTTTCTTGCTGGCAAAGAGGTGGAAGAGTGTCTTCTTTATATTAACATTTTTGGACCTTTATATATTTATATTACTGCATTTATGGTTTGTTTTTCTAACTTTTTTTGGGCATTTAGGGAAATTTGTGGAAAAGTAGTGCGTTGTACGGAGTATTTGTTTGTTACCGAGTAGTTTATCTTGGAGTACTTTTTTTGAGCACACAAAAACCTTTTTTTGGTTGAACTTTTTTGAGTTTCTTTTGTTTCTGTTGGCCTTGTTTTTTTACTCCATCCTTTCTTTTTTAAATGATTTGTTCTCTACTGTTCGAGCCTAATGTGTGACTAACTATATCTTTTACTCCCTCCGTCCTAAAACTTTCTTCTCAGGTTGACTTTTCCCCATTTTTAATTTTTGGCTTTGACTTTAAATTTTACCCTCCTTAAAAAAGATTTTTTGATTTTTTTTGCAATCATTCAAAATATAGAGTTAGAAGATAATTGGTGTAAATACATGAGGGTATTAATGTCATTTGTCATCTTTTTTTCTAATGGGAAGGTAGTTTTAGGACGAAGAAAAAGGGGAAGTACGAAGAAAGTTTTAGGACAGAGGGAGTATATTACGGAGTAGCAAAATATTAATAAAAATAATATTTCTTTCGTTTCAAATTGGATTGTACATTTATTATTCACATGGTCAAATATTATTCATTTTCTTTATTTATTTTTGTTATGAGTAAATTTTCAAAATAGTCTATTGTAATAATGTATTTTCTTAATTCAGTCCTTAATAAGTTATACTCCGTACTAATTATCTACATGGTCCTTTATAATTGAAATTTATTCTTCAGATGATAGTCCTATGTAAATAATCTTACTTAAACAATGATTAATTAAGAGGTATTTTGGTATTTTTAATATCTAAATTTAAAGTATATTCTTGAGATGTTAAATTTTATTTAATTAAATGTAAAATTTAAAAGTATATTGACTTTACATAATCTATGAATTTCTAAAACTTATAAAATAATTTTAAAATTTGAATCAAATATACATGTTTAATTAGAAAAATTTGTTTTGGGAAAGCACTTCATTAGAAATGATAATTTTAAGAACTTGTTCAAAATTTAGCTGATAAAAAAAACTAAAATACCTTCAATTAATTACATTCGAGTAACATTATTTACGAAGGACTATGTGGAGAGTAAGTTTTAATTATAGAGTACTACATAAATAATGAAAACTTATTGAGGATTAATTTAGAAAAACATCTTATTACAAAAGATTATTTTGAAATTTACTCTTTTGTTATTAATTTGATAAAATAATATATTTCTCACTCGTTATTTTGTTGAGTTTTTAATGGAATTTTTAAATATGTAATTTTTATTTCTTTTTTTCATAGATTTAAACTAAATTGATTTAAAAATAATTTCACTCAAATATCATAAAATGAAACATGTGGTTTAAAATATGACAGAGAGAGTATACTAAAGGTATTTTCCAATACCAATGACTTGACACTACTGTTTTAATTTTAAATTGGCTATTGTTTACAAGATTTGATTAAATTTATTTTCAATTCATTCTATTTTAAAATTGGCAACGAATTAAAAAATGAAATTTATATATTTAAAAGCTACATAGTACATCAGAAGTTTTACTCTTTTTGTTCTAATTTAAATTTCCAGTTTCGATTTACAATGTTTGATTGAAGTTATTTTTAAATTAGTACAAAAGGAGTAATTTTATATTGTAATTTATTGTATATTCGGTTGGGTTCTTTTGACAACAAATCGGCGATTTGGGGGAGAGAGTATAACCATTCTTTTTAATTGGTTTAAAAAGAATGTAACGAGTACAAATAAATATTAATGGATAACATGTTTGTATTAGTAGATTTGACCAGTAGTCTGTAGTTGGCCGTTTTAAAAGTTGTTCCATAGCCACTGGAATCCATTGCCCCCCTAACCCCCTTACGGAGCTCCGTTCATGAAATTGATGATTCCTACCCCCCTAACCCCCCCTACGGAGCTCCGTTCATGAAATTGATGATTCCTACCCCGTTCATGAAATGATCTTACTTAAACAATGATTAACTTTAGTATGGGCAGTCACGTAGTGAATACAAGTGGTACCAAATTTTTCTTTAACCCACAAGTTTGTGAGATACATATGATTAAATACTTTTTTTGTGTAAAAAAAATGAATTGTTAGTTTCGAGTAACCCGAAGTATTTATTTACCTGGAGAGGGGGACATAGTTACCAATTCCATATCGGGTTCTACTTTGGAAATGAAAATCACTCCCATTGTATCAGGGAATAGGGTGGAAATGATTTTGGTTTTCAACCGGTATCAGAATCGAATTTTGTTTTATCCATATCCAAACTAGAATTGATAAATTGGAGAATCGCAAGTAAAATGGAAGTGAGTTTTTTTTAGGGAACCCCCGAACAAACTAGCGGCTACCATTTCGAGATAACAGTCATGATTAGGGATGTAAACAAATCAAATATTTTAAATTCGATTCGCGATTTGTATTCGAATATGATGATTCGAATTTACGTTATTCAAATTCAAATTCAAATATTATTTTTGATTCGAATATTAATCAAATACAAATACAAATAGGGATATATTCGATTCAGATTATATTCGAATATTCGAATATATGTATATATACACAGACCATGTTTTCAGCATCAAAAGTCAAACAAAGTAATATAGTATAAAGTGTATTTAAAATACTAAAAATTCAATAAATTAACGTAACACAAAAATCTAAAGCATATGATTTTTAATAGCTATATTTTATAAAATATAATTTGTGTAAGATGTAGATGTGTTAATGTTTTTATATACGGAATATAGTATAGTATAAAGAGTATCGTAAGTTAAATTACAAATTGATATTGGTCTATCATATAAATTACATAGTATGATTATTCAAATATTCGTTTATGATTCGATAACTATTCGAATATTAATCAAATACTTATTCAAATCTTATTTTGAATTCGTCTCATATTCGGATTCGGATTCGTATTCGAAAAATTAAACAAATACAAATTCAAATATATCAGTATTCGCTTCGATTCGGTTCGTTTACACCCCTAGTCATGATACAGTCCTTTTCAAAAATGACTATAATGCCCTCCGAAGGTTTTAGCAATTCAACTTACATTTTTGTCTTAATGCCACCACCGCAAGCCAATTAGTTTAACAATTGAACTCGAACTCCTAGGGTGTGTGGCTTATAATTATCCATGGAGGTGTGGTTTTGATTCATATATTTTTAAAGAGAGAACCTGCAATTTTATATATTTCTGTTCTTTTTGTTTAGTTATAATTACTCTTACCGTCCCAATTTAAATTATATGTTTCCAATTTACGATGTTTGACAAAAGTTATTTTCAAAACATTTTATATGAAAAAAAATTTAAAAATAAAAATTACATATTTAAAATTACATCAAAAGATCTACTCCCTCCGTCCCATTTTATAACGTCTGTTTCGGTTTACGATGTTTGACTGAAATTATTTTCAAACCATTTTATATGACAAATGGTATAAAATTAAAAAATAAAAATTACATATTAAAAAATTACATCAAAAGATCTACAAAACTAGTAGTGACAATATTATTTTATTTTATCAAATTGTTAATGAAAATAGAGAAAGAAAGTGAATGAAATTTGACCCTGTGAATAGTGAACAAACATTATAATTTGGGACAGAGGGAGTACAAAATAAGTAGTGACAAGACTATATTATTTTATTAAGTGCATAACAAAAATAAAGACAAAAAATGAACAAAATTTGACCCTATAAATAGTATACAAGCAATTTAAATTGGGACGGAAGGAAAATAATTTAATAAAAATTTATTTTTGTAAGCATTGTATTTTTGTTTGAACTAATATTCCATATCCTGATATCCAATTTTATTATTTTTTTAGTATGTACTCCATACATTCTAAAAACAATACTCCGTAATACGTAATAAACGTATTGGAATCATACTGGCCTCGAGAGATTTCAGTTCAGATTTCTATCAACCCCACATTGTTGGCAAATCAAAACTACACGAAATATTAATCACAAAATGATAAAAATGAAACAAGATAATTAAGCGCACACAAGAACTTTTTTAATTCCTAAACATATCCTTTGGATCAATTCTAAGTTCCCAAATAGGCCATTAGTGAAGTATACATGTCATTATGTGAAGCTTTAAAGGATCCATCAAGTCCACATTTTTACACATTACAATCAAAGTTTTCTCCAAAAAAGATTAGTTCTACCCCAAACTCTCTGAACCCATAACAAAAGTGACAATAATTTATAACACCATTAGTCAAACATTAAAAAAAACCCAACTTTTTTTTAGCCATGAACCAAATTGCATATCACCTATACTTGAATAGTTCAAACAAACAATCATATAAGAATCTTATTTTTTTTCTAAATAAAAGAATTAGGAAGACAATTACATATGTAATAATCTACTCGTAGTAAAGTAATGTAACGTCTATTAGCATTGCAATTAAGAAATAAACAATAAAAAGTAATATGAATTACTTGAAGTTCCATGACCCAAATGTGAGCTTCACGAAATCCAAAACAAGCAAAAAGGTATCTGGCTGGAGAGCTTCAACCTAATGATGCGGAGATGGTGATGGAATGATGAGAAGAGAAGGTCAATACATCTGCAAATTTTGTAACGGAATGTACTTGTGTATTATCATGTCGAGAGATCAATTCTAAACCAAATAAATACATTTCATCACATCAAAATAAGTCCATCAAAGAAATTTGGGATGTACATAATCATGCAAGTCAATATTATTATATATCATACTATGAAAAATTTCACTCGCAAGCTTGGTTTTCCTATAGAGAACACACGTAAAATATTACAGGCATATGATGATATGACCCCAAGTCCGCTTCTACCAATGGTCTAGACTATGAGATACGTAGTATTTAATAAAGCGCATAATGTGTCAAGTATGGTGAGGGGGATTAACAAATTCAAACAATTTGCAACATGCAGAAAGTGAAATGGCATTTCATTATAATATGTTTTCTGGCCAAGCCAATTATTAAGCACCAAGTTCATAGTAAGAGCAGGACCACGAAATGAAACAACAAATGATCGGTCAGTCATTAAAAGTTTAAGCAGGGCCTAGCCTGAAGAGATAGAAACCGTGGCAATGCAGTACCTTTTCCTACTCATTCTGAAGCTGATGATCAGGTGTTTGGGCGTACCATACCAGATGACACCATTTCTGGTAACGTGTGGTCAGCATCAAGAGTATATCTTTTCCAGATGAGTGAGTCAATCGTTTTTACAGTCCTCCAAGACCGTAGCTGGGTGTTGTTAGTACCTTTTTAGTAGAGGCATAGAAATCCAGAGGCTTAGGTGGGGGTGCAAGCATAAATTGGGAGAACCATTTTAAAAAGCAGCAGATCCCCATGTAGTCAAAGCTGCATCAAAGTCGAAAAGATTCATTTTCAAAACATATAAACAAAGCTTCCATAAATATCGGAGGCCCCGTGCAGTCAAAGCTTTTCCTAGCCTATTTGACAATGATGCGTAAGTTAAAGTATGCCAGGCATGGCATGAGCATTCAGGATAGAGTAAATTTATACGCAGTAAGAATTAATATCCATTAAAAATAGCCATATGCGATTTTTTTTTTCTACCTCAGAATTAGTCCGTATGTTCAATTCGATAAAACTCTTTTTACCTAGTTATACTGCAAAGATTGTGATGGTTCATATGTATATTCATATACAGATTACAACTTTTCTTTTTATTAACAAACACTTCCATCCATGTCTTTGAACATATATATATAATATGGTAATTAATTTGATACCATAAGAATGGGTATCAACTCCATGGTGATACGACACACATGCCAACCAAATAAATAGCAACTCTCTCCATTCCCATATAGTTGTCCACCGCCCATAACACGTCAAATTTAGGAATTATGATAAAATATTTTGTTTTTGGTAGTTATTTTATACATGTAACCAAATATTGGAGTAATATTCAGTGTTTGTTATATCTTACGGGTGTGTTGGGAAATTCATGTGAGTTTTATAGTTTATCATCTAAAATATAGTAATTCAATGACTAATTCTGAACGTCTCAAACAGGAAAAACTAAATCTAGATGGAGGGAGTAATAATTAACAATATACCTTACAAATCCATCATAGTCGCGCATTGATTCTGTTCATGCTTAATGTGCCTAAATTTCCAATACTGGCAGTGTGCAGTTTTTCAGCTGCCTCAATTGATGCTCTCCTACTTGATTCTTGAGAACAGATGTAAGATAGTGATTGTACCCAAGATACCAATGCTGGTTTCCTTGTAACATCATCTAATTCCGCAACCTGCTGATATAAATCATTAAGAACCATATTCTGGCCATCAGCGGGCAGCTGAACAACCAGGTGAGCGAGGAGCTTCATCAAAGTAGGCAGAACCTGAAACGCTTAAAACATCTTTATCAGCCAAAAAATATTTCTAAAGAAGAAATTTTCCATCCTACTCTCTCAAATCTCTAACTGCAAAATAGAATGTTCCTCTTTAAGAGTAAGTAAAGAATTCACCAGCAGAAAGATAATGGATATAGAAATGAAAGATTTTACAGCACGTCTGCACGAGAATCAATCGTCAAGGAAAATTTGACATGCAATGTGTGCATCTAGATAAAAGAAATATAGCAAAGGCAATGACATGTTTAGCTTTTAACATTGTACCTGTATATCTACAAGATGAAGGAGTCGCAAAAGTAGTTCAAATATTTTCTTCAAAGGCTCTAATAATTCTCCTTCCCAGTTCTTTATAGCACCACAAATACTGTTAGCTTTTTCAACAACACTCTGAATGCAATAAAATATAGACGAGCTTCCAGCAGGAAGATGTCTAACAATAGCAGTGACTCCAGCAGCCACTCCCTCAAAGGGTGTAATTCCAGGGTACACCTACACATTCAATGCAGTCAAAGATTGAAAACTTTACTTGTCCCAAAAAATGACTCACTAACGTAATTACAGGTGGCATTAGAATGAATACCTCCAAAGATCTTCTCATGTAATAAAAGACAAGTTGCTCCTTAAGTGTAACCCTTTCATCAAGATCATAACGCTCTCCTGATGAAATGAAAGCCACGAATACTGAGTGTGCTGCTCTAGCCACTTTTCGAGTTGGATGTCCCATATATCTGATTAAACATTGAATGAAGGAAACGTCCAATTCTTTTCTTTGCAATTAAATCTCCATTGTTGTCAATCAAAATAGGATACAAAAACATAGTTGGCACCACTGCCGTCCTAAAAACAGATGCTGGCAAGCACTCAATGCAAGTCTGAATAACCCGCAAATAAAACAAAATTCGAGCAGTTTGCACTTCGTCTGTGGACCACGCATAATTGATTTCTTGAGAAATAGATGACACTGCAAGGAAACATATAGTCTGAGTTTTACTATTGTGGAGGGGCAACACATGAACACAATACTAAAGAAAGAGCAGGTCCTGCATGAGATAGTCAGTCTCATGGCGAGACTACTTTTGTTGAAAAGTGCAAATGTAAAGATAAAAAAGTGATAAATTATATTACTATGCACATAATACGTTTTAAATTTTTAAAATATAAAAAAAAACTAATACTTCCATTCAAATTTAAAACTTATGGTATTATTTTTTGGTTAAAAGTATTACCATCCCATGGTAAATTGGTGTCACGCTCTCATACAAGTTTTTGTGAACTTTTAATTGAGGAAATAGGTTAGACCTGGATTGCTTATCAGATCAGCATAAGATGGCATCGATTTCACAAAGGAAATACAAGCTGATTCATTCTCCTGAACACTAGTAATAACTGTTCTAATTGCATCCATGTATTCCTGCAAACGCATTCGTCGAAAATATTCCATACAAGAAAAAGAAACTAATATCTGTACGGAAAGTTTCAAATGTTCTTCATAAGCAGTCCCCGATCCTAGCCTGTGCTTTGTTAATGTCAATGCAAAGACCACAACCATAAGGAAAGCAGATTCAGCAATTTTTCCTAGTTTCACAGAAAAACCTTCCTTCCCGGTTCCTAACATTACAGCCACCTGCCGATGGCACAAGTAGACACATTGGCAGTAATCCCACATATGATTCTCTACAGCACTTTGGTTTATCTTATCAGATGAGACATAGTGATTGCAAAATACAGCAGCAATGGTCCCTGCTTCTTTAAATATGGTGCTATCCAAATGCTTTTGAACACTTAGCTCGATGTCTGCAAAATCTGCTGTATGTGATTCTAGAATCCTAAAATATATACTTTGCAATGGGAAGATTTCAGTCAGTAATGCTTCCGCAAGGCAGAAAAGGAGTGAAGGTCTAGGAGAAACAGCACCACATCTGGATAAAGCTAATGACATGCATTGTAGTAGAAAACTGTTTCTCGGCTCTGCACTTGAATACACAGCATCTTCAGTTAAGGATATCAAGTTCCCCGCAACAGCATCAATTCTCTCCTCTGCAGGAACTCTCAGGTGCATTACCACATGTGCATTGGTTCTATTGATAACCCTTAGAACTCCAGCTGCAGCCATTACAACATAAAATGATGCATAAGTCGGATGTGGATTATCCAGCACCTCCCTTCTAAAAATATTAATACTGTCCAAAGAATGTGAGTTGACGAAATTCGACATGACCCACTCTGTTAAATGTAGCACTAGAAGTCCATTATCAATGCTAGCAGAAGGACCATCCTTTTTATCCCAAACTCCAAATAGAAGGCCAAGAATTCTAATCATATGAACATTAACAGAAGAAGATAAAGCATAGCCAATCCCCGCAAGAACATTCAGAATCAATCCTTCAGACATGTGGATCAACTTAATTTCTTTTTCAAGGAGAACACACAGCATCTGAAGGCAGGCCTCTTTAGATTTCCCTGATGCCGAACTTACAAACGAAAGAGCACCAATTACAAGAACAGCTTCAGAATAAAAAGCCGATATGTCATCGGAACAAAACCGTACGGAGAAAAGGTGCAAGAGAACCTCAACAGCATAATCCACAACAGGAGAAGACGGGCGTGAAGATTTCCTAATCCAAATATACAGAAGCCTGAGCAACAAAGGGTAAGATTCCTCCGGGAGCAATACACCAGGCGAGGACAAAAGCGAGAGCAGAAGCTTCGCTTGCGGGTCAGCAATATACAGCGAATTTCGAGATGCTACAAGACTGCGTAGAGATTCGAGATTACCGGAATTGAATGACTGTTGATGAACTGAGCCCCGCAAATCCGCCCAAGCTTGTATTATGTCTTGGGCTGATGTCGGAGAAGACGGCTGAGTTGGGCTCACGCCTTTGCCGCTGCCGCCGCCGGCGGAAATGGTGCTTAGAAGCCATTCTTCGAGGAAAACTGGTTGAGATTGCTTCTTATCCATCTCGTGAATTCCGCCGGCAGGGACGATGATGCAGTGATGATTTTTGTCTGTAATATCGTTATAGCATATTGGGCGCGGAGATTACAACCCTAGGGCGCGGAATCGATTGGACACGCCTCCGGGACGTACGGTACCGGACGGGGGATGGTTGACCGACGGATGGCCTGTGTTGACTTAGAATGATAACTACTCTATTTTGTGTGGAGTATTTCCTAGGAGTGAACCGAACTAGCATGATACCATACCGGACCGTAATGATACCAAATTGTTTTTAGTGTTTTCAAATAAGATTGATTTTCTTTATCACGAATTGAAACCGAACCGATATCAAATGAGATGAGATCGTGATACATATATTTAAAATCGATTATCACGGACCGAACTGTCCAACGTTATATACAGAGTACGTATCTCAAATAATTATAGATTATTTGTCTATTTCATCTTACCGTATATAGAATACTTCGTATTTCATTATTCGTTTTTAAACTCTCTCATTATTATTGTTGTTATTATATTTATCATTACTATTAGCATTACTTTTTTATAGTTATTAGCATTCTGATATTATATGAATTAGGAAAAAAATTATTTTTTAACTTTGGATTCGTTATTTTTTATTCTTTATATTTATGATCCGTTTAAATTTGAAATCAATACTTTTATTTAACAAATTTGTGCTTTTTTATATAAATTCATACATTAAATTCAATTTTCTTTGAGTAATGTACATTCATTTTTTCGGTGCGGTTTGAGCATGGGTATAGTATTGTACCGTTCCGTTTCAAAATGGAATGGTACCAAATGGTTTTGAAGTTCATCCCGTACGGATACCGAACCGTTTAAATAAGAGCGGTCCGTGATAGGTTCCGGTAGTATCACGGATCATCACGGACCGCGCCTACCCCTGGTATTTTCCAGAATCCTTAATGCCCGGATTCAAAATATTTTGGTCACGTCTATATAATACTCTCTCCGCCCCCGAAAGAAGTTCTCTTATTGACTTTTTAGAAAATTAAGGAAGAGATATTTTGGTGTTGACTTTCCAAAAATACCTTTGATGTGATTGATAAAAGTAAGATGTGATTAGGGGTGTAAACGAACCGAATCGAAGCGAATACCGATATATTTGAATTTGTATTTGTTTAATTTTTTCGAATACGAATCCAAATCCGAATATGAGACGAATTCAAAATAAGATTTGAATAAGTATTTGATTAATATTCGAATAGTTATCGAATCATAAACGAATATTTGAATAATCATACTATGTAATTTATATGATGGATCAACATCAATTTGTAATTTAACTCACGATACTCTTTATACTATACTATATTCCGTATATAAAAACATTAATACATCTGCATCTTACACAAATTATATTTTATAAAATATAGCTATTAAAAATCATATGCTTTAGATTTTCGTGTTACGTTAATTTATTGAATTCTTAGTATTTTAAATACACTTTATACTATATTACTTTGCTTGACTTTTGATGTTGAAAACATGGTCTGTGTATATATACATATATTCGAATATTCGAATATCATCCGAATCGAATATATCCTTATTTGTATTTGTATTTGATTAATATTCGAATCAAAAATAATATTTGAATTTGAATTTGTATTTGAATAACGCGAATTCGAATAATCATATTCGAATACAAATCGCGAATCGAATTTAAAATATTTGATTTGTTTACATCCCTAGATGTGATGGATATATTAGTAGTAGAAAGGTGTGATGTGATAGGTAGGGTATGAAAAAATAAGGAGTAAAAGTGAGTTTTTAATATAAAATAGAATATCTTTGTGGGACAAAGAAAAAACGAAAGGAAAACTTCTTTCGGGGACGGATGTAGTATTATTTTGTTTTATTATGAATGATTAAAAAAATTTCCCGAACCATTATGGATCTTTAAAAATGAGGCAAGATCGGGACACATAAATATTTTCTCGTTCCGTCTCGTTGTCACGTATATATGTGTATTTATTTATTTATTTATTGATATAATGATATAACACAAAAAAACATTGGTATTTTTATTTTTCCAAAATAGATATAAAAGATATCTAGATCCAAATATTCTGAAAAGAACAAACTAGGACTCGAACACATTAAAATTCACACCATTCTAGTCCGACTTGCCCCAATTTGTGGCTCATAGCTTTATGGAGTTTATAGTGTTTACTTTTGACGTATGTTGTAACATTTTTCACGTTTCTTTATTCTTTTTACTTTTTTAAAACATTCTAAATAAATATATCACTTTTTCATTACTTTTCAAGTCAAGGTGGGTTACCCCCCTATGTATTTTATATTTTTATATCGAATTTCAAATAAGGGCAAACTGGCAAAGTAAGATAACCCGAAACTGTTCTGAATATTAAGAGACAAAGAGGGATAACCTTGTGGCACGAACCGTTCTAAATTTTTAAAAAACGGGACAAAACACAAGATGGTATAAAAATCAAACCGTCTCGACCCCTAACTTTGAAATTTCACACAACTTTTTATTTACTTGAAACGGTTTATATATATACTCTCTCGAGATATATATTCTACCTGAATTTGACTTTTAACAATCCAATCGGAGCTTATGATATTCATATCTAAATCGAAAAATAAACTATCCAAAATTGATCCAAAAAATCAAACGAACCCCGACTTTTGTCAAATCGAGTTTGGGTAAGTATATTTGACCAACCCTTATCCTACCCGGGCCGACTTGACATGTATCCGACTTAAATAAGTTTTTAAAACCATTAAAGTTCTATATTCCATGTATTTTTAATGCACATGTTTTGAACGTTTTAAAACGTATTGCATTTCTTTGTGTTTCTTTTTTATCATGGATGAATCATGTGTGTCACTCCTATATGTTATTTTCTCGGTACTTCATGTATTATTCGTTGATACTTGCTATTTAATATATTTAAGAGTTATTCAGTCATAATTATTTTTGTTAATATCTTAAAATGTATGTCATCGTTAAAACTTTAAATTTTTAATGTATTCAAATTTTGTAATTTTCATGAATATTTTTATTAATATTCAAACCCAAATTTAACCATAATCGATTTCATCGAATCTTAAACTTTATCCAAATCGAAAAATAGATATCCGAAACTGACACGCCAAAATCAAACTCGAACCTAGCCTAAATCAGGTCGAGTTTCAATATATTCAAACCAGACCCGTTGCCATCCATATTTCTAAGTCTTATCCCATAAAAAACTTTTACTCTCTCCGTGCCTAAAAAGTATCTTCCTGTTACGTGTTACAATATTTAATTGAAATTATTTAGCTTTTTTATATGAAAAATGATGTGGAGCTAAAATATAAAAATTACATTTTTAAAAAACTACACTAAGAGATTCATAAAACTAGAAGTTATATAATTATAATGTTTGAAAGAATAATGCTAGGGGTACAAAAAATTGCACCACAATTTGTACACTAATCATATATTCTCGCATGAAAGATTTCTTATATATATTCTCAAATATTTTATTCACACCAAAATATATGTGACACGAAAGGTGTGACTAGATACAAATTGGTATACAATTTGATACTCTATCTCAAAAAAATTATTCCATCCGTTCAACAACACATTTCTTATTTAGAACAACGTACAAAATCACATATTTTAAAAATTACTTTATTTTTAAATTAGTATTTCATAAAAAAATACAAACTATATTATTTAAAATAACATTAAAAATCTTACAAAATAAGATATGACAAGCATATTTTATCTCGATCAATGAAAATATATAAACAAATACTCCATCTGTCCCATTTTAAATTGTCTATTTGCCTTTTTTCTCCGTGCCAAAATAAAGCGCATGTTACTTGTTATCGTAATTTTTAAGAGTAAAATACATAAATTACCTTTAAAATAAGCCAGTTTTCTCCACCTTATCTTCTCATTCATCGTCACTCCTAAAAAGTAATGACAATTTTGAAAAATCAACTTTATTTTTCCTTTTTCTTAAACATGTCCAAAAGTCAAAAAAAACAATTTAAAACGGGAAGGAGGGAATATAAGTTATCAAAAAATCCTAATAATAACTAGAAAATTTATGATTGGAATGTAGGGACTAGGGAGTATTTTATTTTTTCTAAAAGATGTTTCAAAGGGTCAAAATTAGTGGAGCTAGCCTATTAGGGACTTAGGGAGTAGTTTTCTAGAGCAGCTAGCCAATCATCATCTAAAGTCTAACCCGGTCAAATAAGGTCGCATCAAAATACAAAAGGCACCACTTTTTTAACCGCAGCATTGGGTTGCCATGTACCAGTCGGAATCCTCATCCCCTTCGTCTGGAAAGTTCGAAACTTGAAATTGATCGCCCCGCCGGCCGGAAAGTCTGTCTCGCCGGCACTGGGTTTAATCAAAACGATGGTCGATCCGAATTGGGAGCTGAAGAACTGCTGTAATCACGACCAGAAGTCGTTCCTTATCACCATCGGCGTTTACTCCGTTGTTATCCTAGGTGTACGTCTCTTCTCCTTATCTAATGGAAGCTTATAATCAGCCTGTTCATATCCCACCCAACACTCTTTCGATTTGTTGTTTAGCTTGTTTTTCTTTTATTCCCCCTTCCTGAATTATGAAAGTGTTCACTAAATAATTGTGACAATACTTTGAACTTTGCCCTTCAGTTTTCAGAATAGGAACATCACATGATAAATTGCAGGTTACCAATAAGAGGGAATAATCGAGAAGAAATTTGATGAAAGAAAATTCGATTTTTTTCATTTTAGGCCACTTTTACTGGCTCACAAGGTTGATAAAACTCATGTGATCTTAAAGGTTGGATCACGACTTTGAGTACCAGTGGAAGTCGTTTAACTGGTCATAGGATTGTAATCAAGCACTGTCTCAGGGTAAATCAAACATAAACACATGTTAAGTCAGTAGTTAAGGCCACATTCATTATGTCTGAAATTTGTTCTAGACATTATAAAACTACATTTTACATTTTCAAGCACAGAGTTGATGCTACATTTCTTTGATTGAATGTTTCTTCAGGATCGAAATCATTCATTTTAATGCAGTTTTTTTTTTAAAAATTGAGGCAGTTGTGGAGAACTTTCCTTCTAACACCTTTCAAGCTCATCACTGTATTTCTGCATGAGGCAAGCCATGCAATTGCTTGTAAATTCACATGTGGTGAGGTAAATAACTTGATCCTTATCCCTATTCAGGTCTAAAGTTTGATTTTCCATGTAATGATAAATTTTATATTTGGAACATCAAACCAGTTGCTAACTCCCACCCAACACTTCTAATGGGAACTTTTCTTTATCCTGTTACAAGATGAATACCACATGTCTGCATGTGATTGAATTTGGTAAATTTGTTCATATCTGTGTCTTTTAGGGGAATCAACTGGGTTGCTGTTATTGTTGTATCTGTGTCTTAGGGGATGAAACTAACTATTATGGATTGCGAAGCATACTGCTAAAAACTTATGTTCTTTAGATTTTACTTCAATATCATATGATGTTATATATAAGGGTAGGGGCCGTAGGGTTGAGCAAAACTTATCCGAAGTGTAAATTGAACCGAAAAGGTAAACAACATAAATTCATGCATAAACTAGTAGAAAAATATTTAAAATGTGTGCTTGATCACCGGTAAAATGGAAGTTAAATAGAAACCAGATAACCGTCTTGAAAAAAATGTTAACTGGTTTGTCCGGTTTGGTTTTGGATCACATTTTTTGGCAAACCGAATTTTCAGTTAGCTGATATTCCAATTTGCCGGATTTGATCACCCCTAGTAGGGGTGACAAGGATTGCTTAGGAATTTACTCAGGGGAGAAGACATTGTCAAGAACTTTTCTTGATAAGGGATAATCTAAGCTTGAATATGAGAAACTAGTACTACACACTCAAATCTCACTTAGTGTTAACTCTATAGTTTAATTAAAAACCACAAATATTATATATTGAGAAGCTGACACACACACACACTTAAGAAAACCACTCCGGAGATATAGAAATTAGTAATCTGGATAAAATAACATCACACTATTTTAGATTTACTCAAAGAGTAAATAACTCAATTCATATATTTTGTTCTATATTTTTCAATATGAGGAGGACCGTATATCTAGGCTAATTAACATTAAATGAGGGAAAATTTGTTTGCATACATACTCATGCAAGAAATGAGTAAATCCCCAAGTCTAGTAATTAGAGCACATCATTCAGCCCCCTTTTTCTTCATGTACACGTCCAGTGTAAATCGCCAGCCATATGGGTAGCTTTTCGTAAATAGCATGCTACATTTTGGTGTCTTTATACAAGGAAGACCAGAGGTAAACGAGGAGACATAGTCATACAAAGTCAAGACTGTTTTATACTTTTGTATGCTTTTCTTTTCTTCACTTCAGGCTTATGCGCTCAAACCAGACCAGCGAATAATATGGTGTACTTCCTCCGTCCCAAAAAAACTGTATTAATCCTCTCGCGGAATCAGTCTGTCATGCGCTTCGGTTGTACCATGCCGCCATGGCAAGCCGTCGTTCCTTTTGATTATTGGATTGCATTGTTTGTCACTGGGTCTCGTGTGCAAATCATATGGTACCTGGCTTTTTTGCATCCACTACGGAGAACTCAGCTCCAAGCTATCTAGGATAAGTTTCCTATTGTCGTGATTGGCGAGATGCTGTATGAACTTTATGGGGCAGGTTAGCATCAACTGCACATGGTAAAAGCACAAACCCAGTTCAATCCAGGGCACATGGTCCCGGGCATCGTGGCCATTTTGAAACAACGCTGCATTTATCTTTGAGGCACTAAAGAATACTGTATTTGGGCCAAATATGCTTCAATTTGTGCCTGCATATTTCAAGGATAATTAGATTTAGAACAATACACTGGCAAAACATATGCAACACTTTCGGTCAGTAGGTTAAGCATTGCGTACTTTTTGAAACTAAGAAGCTAGGGAAGTTTAGTGAGTTAAGTTGTTTACATGTAAAGAAAAGTCTGGCATTGACACCGAATATGTATGTGCGCTGTGACTGAAGGCCTCCAGTAAACCCACCTTTTGTTCTCTTGAAACAAAAACGTTGTGGGGCACTATATATGCGAGATCTACTTGCAATGAGGTCTGTTTTGGATAGAGTTTTATAAATACCCTTCTTTACAATCAGTGTATGTTGATAGACAATGACTGTTATTTGGCTCATTTTTTAAAACCATTTTTTTATTGAATGCAGGTGCTGGGCATGCAAGTACATGCAAACGAGGGGGGTGTGACAACAACACGTGGCGGTGTTTATTGGTTGATTTTGCCTGCTGGATGTAATTACTTTCCCATTGGGGTTACAGAATGTGTCCCTAATTGATTTTGTAAAGCAACAAAAACGTTCATGGCTTACTATTTTCTTATTTACTATGGTGTGGCTTTTAATGGTTTTGATCTCAAACTTGTGTTCTTATGTTCCTTCACAACAGATCTTGGTTCATCATTTTGGGGAATGGCTCTCATACTTGCATCCACACATCTATTGACTGCACAAATTGCTTCTGGTTGTCTTATTATAGCTCTGATAGTGGCGCTCTTCTTTGCTAAAAATGTAAGAAGCTAAAACATGAATTAGTTCGTGTGTGATTCTAATGTTGAATGCATGCTATTCTCTCTAAAAAAATTATTTTCTGAGAGTAAATAGTTGTTATTCTATGCTTTCTGTGAGTAGCTCATTTATTTTTTAAAACAGTGGACGCTTAGAGGACTTTGCATTGGTAAGCACATTCAGGAACTTGTCAAGTTCCAATGTTGACATATATGTGCTTTCCATTGTACTGCAATTTTTTCGTCTGGCTGTTGAAATTTTGCAGGATTCATTATTTTCATTGCTGTGATATGGGCTCTTCAAAGAATGACTGGAGTGCGGATTCTTCGCTATGTAATACTTTTCATTGGTATGGATTTCTTCACTCCACACCCTTCCTTCCTGCAGGACCTACTTCAGTACTAGGGGCACTGTGCCTACACTTTTTCTCTTGTTTCAATTGTTTTGCTGCTGATGTGGAAATTTGGGGATTGCAGGTGTTATGAACAGCTTGTTTTCTGTATATGGTACAACTTTATCCCTTATCTAGCAGTACAAGTTTCAGCTAAACAGAAGGCTAATTATAAATAAACTTAAATGTTGTGTTGCAGACATATACGACGACTTGATATCGCGAAGGATTAATACAAGTGATGCTGAGAAGTTCGCTGAAATTTGTCCATGCCCTTGTAATGGTGTTGCTTGGGGTTTTATCTGGTTTGTACTTGCACTTAATATGGAAGTCAATCTTTTTTCTTTTTCTATTGTTTTTCTGAAGGCCATCATTCATGTTGCCGATCCCAATGATTTGGGAATAAGGCTTGTTTGTCGTTAACTTGTTGCTGTGGATGAACCTTAAAATGCTTCTAGATTGCATTTTTCTAAAGAAATCTACCTAAATACTCCCTCCCCCCCCCCAAAAAAAAAAGAGTCCATATTTCCTTTTTAGAACGTCCCAAAAAGAGCCTCATCTTTCCTTTTATAGAAAACTTTGNCATCACTTTCAACTACACATGTTCACTTTCCTAAAACTTTTTACTAAGTCAAACTGGGAGTCTTTTTTGGGACGGTGGAGGTAAGATTTAAGAAAAAAGGAAACTTATACCAAAGTGAGGTCTCCTATGTTTTAACCCCTGAATAGGAATATTGTCATTGTGAAACGTCCGCAGTTTGGCATTGAACCGTGTTTTAGTCTTAGTCGGGTATTTTCCTCTTTTCTCCACATAAATTTTATGAATTTTCTTCTTGCAGGGGGATGATATCATTTGCATTCCTTTGTGGGGCAGGGTACCTTGGACTTATCATTTTATCTTGAGGTGCTATATATGGCTCCTGCATGCCAAAATCAATCTGCCCTGGATTGTATATGATCCCATTTCATTCATGTTATCTTACCATTCTTACATTACAACAGCCAAAACATAAATGACTGTCTGATTTATGTGTGATTCATTCATTGGCGTTTATCTTGGAGTAATACGGAGTATAATGTCGAGAAAGTACTCCGTATTTAACTGAGTGATGTTCATTATGTCCATGTCCTTGGGATGTGGAAGAGAGTACTTATAAATTTCTTGTATTGTGATTATAATTGAAGTTTCAATCTTCTTACAATGGAGCTGCTTGGTGACTTTTGTTCCCTTTTTTTCATCTTGGAAAATAATTGTTCCAAATTTTAGTTTATTAATTTAAAAAAAGTTGTAAAAAGTGTAGAGAGAGAGAGTGATGAGATTTTTTTTGCACACTTTTGGGAGTGCCTAGGTTATTATATCTTTGCTATGCCTACTAGATTCCTTCAAGGTGCAAAGTGCGTAGTATTTCTTTGTCCTAATTTATAGTGCATGTTCAATATTCACAGGGTCAAACTTCATTCATTTTCTTTCTCTATTTTTGTTAGCAAATTGATAAAATAAAGTATTATTGTCACTACTAGTTTTGTAGATCTTTTGATATAGTATTTTTATATGTAGTGTTAATTTTTTAATTCTATACCAGTTGTCATATAAAATGATTTGAAAATAATTTCAGTCAAACATCGTAAACTAAAACAGGCACTATAAATTGAGACGGAGGGAGTATAAAACTTGATGCTAATAAAGGAATTGTCTATATGCAAAAAAAAAAAAAGATTTTCCCAATTCCCTTATTAAAGTGGGATCAGCTAGTTACAAGGTTTTAGGGAGGGGCCTTATTTTGAACAAATCCCAAAATGAAAACAAAAATTCTTGGGGCATTTTCCTTCGTTTCTCGTGGGATTCTACTGGGTTTGTTGTTTTCGTTTTTTCCTTCGTCATGAAATAGAACCGTTTCTGATGGACTCCAGAACTTGAACGACCTCGGCCATGCTCGGCCTTTGAGAAGGCGTTTCGCAAGTGCAAATCAAGCCCAACTTCATCACTTGAACCATCTCATTTTCATCCGCGAACCCACCACCACGGCGCAACCGTCTATCCAAACACTCCGAACCCGCGCCCCTCCCCATCAACCCCCTGACATGCGAGCACAAAACCACCACCTCATTTCCCGGCGGCGAACTCTCCACGGGGCCCCTCCCCGTGACCAACCCCAACAAAATGACACCGTAGCTATACACGTCACACTTTTCGCTCACCCGCATGCTCTGGGCCAACTCGGGCGCAACGTACCCGACCGCATTGTGGGATTTGGTGAGCCCAGAGTTGTCCAGAAACGGAAGTATCTTCCCCAAACCATAATCGGACACTCTGGGCTCGTAGCTCTCGTCAATCAACACATTGCTCGGCTTCACATTCAAATGAAGGACCGGCGGGTCGCAGTCGTGGTGAAGGAAGGCCAAGGCTTTCGCAGTCCCCAGCGCAACTCGGAACCTTCTGGGCCAATCCAAACCGGGGTTCTGGGCAAGACTCCCGTTTTGGACAAACTCAGAGAGAATCAATTGTAGGCTTGAAGACCAATAGTAGCCTTGAATGGGCACAATGTTGGGGTGTTCATCAAGGCTCCCTAACCGTCCAATTTCTTGTTCAAATTCATCCTGGTTTCCGATCCTCCCCAAAGTCTCCAGCTTTTTGACAGAGATTGAAACCCCGGATTCGAATGTGGCTTTATAAACCGTCCCGATTGATCCGCCGCCGATCAGGCAATCCTTGTCGAGCAAAGCTCTCGTGCCGGCCTCCCAATCCTCGTACTTGGAGGGCAGGCTTTTGCTGTAGAGAACGAGCTTTCCGATTAGGGCATTTGAGTCCGACGAGGCGAGTAAAGTGCTCTCCGAAATTATCGTCTCCTCCACTCTTCTGCTCCTTCTGGCCGCCTTGACGTTGATGACGGTCACGATTACGACGCCGGCGATGATTACAGAAGCTGCGATGATCGCAACAATGGCGGACGCGCTCAGCCGAGGCTTTTTCCCGCGTTTATGGCAGGAACCGAGCGGGAACCCGCAGAGGCGGGGGTTGTTCGCGAAGGCGGAGGGCCCGAATTTCCGGATCGTGTCGTTGGAAGGGATCTCTCCGGAGAGAAGATTGGATGAGAGATTGAAATGGGTGAGGTTTGTTAGGCTCCCCAGACTGGTTGGGATCGAACCGGTTAACCGGTTCTCTGAGAAATCCAACCAGTGCAAGTTGGACAGGTTCCCTATTGTTGTGGGAATCCCCCCACCAATCTGGTTGTGGTGGATGTCAAGAATCTTGAGGTTTGACATGTTGTTAAGCTTCTGTGGGATCTCGCCTCGTATCTGGTTTCGCGAGATATCCCTACAGAACACAAGAAAAAATGGTTTGAGTACTTCAAAGTTCTGGTGTAGGACTCTCTAAGGGCATATAAACAGCAAAAATGATGGACATTTTGGACTCACATCTCAAGAAGAAACCTCAAGTTGCTTATCTGGTCAGGGATTTCACCGCCGAGGAGGAGATTACTCAGATCAAGAACTTCAAGCCACTCTATGTGCCCTAACCGCGGAGGGATTGTTCCAGAAATGGAATTGTTTGCCAAACGAATGAGCACGAGGTTCTGGAGATCTGCAATCTCAAGTGGTATAGTTCCATTAAGACTGTTATACCCCAAGTCCAAATACTTCAGCGAACTGCATTTCGCAATGCTTCGTGGGATTTCACCAGAAAACCCGTTTCTTGAAATGTCCAGCACTTGTAGTCTCTGACTACAAGCTCCAAGATTTCGGACAGGTCCCTGAAACAGGTTACTTGAAATGTTGAAATATGCAAGGTTTGGGAAGGAAAGGACCTCAAAAGGGGCAATACCGGTAAATTCGTTGGTGCCCAGATCCAAAAGCTCTAATCTTTGACAGGTTGAGATCTGCTCTTGAACATTTCCACTGAGTGCATTGCTTCGCAGAGACAAGTATGACATTCCAGGAATGGTGCAAATTTGTGGGGGCAAACTGCCGATGATCCGATTAAAAGATAAATCCAATCCTTCTAAACTCAGGCAGTTCCCAACTGATGTGGGGATTGAACCAGAGAGACGGTTGCGCGAAAGTGAAACGAACCGTGTTTTTTCACAACTCTTGAACAGTGCAGATGGAATCTCCCCGGAGAGGTCATTTCTTGACAGATCAAGAAACCTTAAATTCGGTAGATCTCCAAGAAATTCTGGGATGGACCCAGATAATGCATTGGAGCTCAGATTGATCTTCCTCAAAGATTCAATCTTTCCATAATCATTTGGGACATTGCCTGTAAATTCATTCCCAAACAACATCAGACTGCGCAGGGATTTCAACCCAGACAAAGCAGGCGACAGCACTCCCACAAGGCCGGCATTATACAGCAGAATTTTTACCACATTTCCATCAGAATTGCAGAACACACCGAAATAATCTCGGCAAGGGGTTTTTCCGGGATCCCAAGAACTCAAACTACGAAACGGGTCAGTCGAAATGTTCCCTTTGAACTGAAGCAAGATCTCTTTTTCAGTGATTGTGAACACAAAATCAAACTCATACAAGCAAAAGCAGCTGAAAAGGACAAGGCAATAAACCCATTTACCTATTCTTTTCATGTTCCCAGCAAATCCACCCCAGCATTACATTTTTCAGGACCAAATCTTGAAATCCTTTGATCCCTTGAAGCAAATAAAGCTCAAATCTTTAATAAATAAATCAATGAGCAAGAAGATCTAGACCTTGACCAAACAGGAACCTTTTTCAACCACTCATGAAATTACCATATGCTTATACAGGTGAAAAAGACTGAAATTAAGCGCATTTATGACCCTTCTTTGAAATTTTGGCCCTGGGGGTACAATGAACTTAACTAACTAACTGGGAAGATTTGATTTGACTGGCTTGTTTATCTGAATCTTGGGTGTGTGAAAAAGACTCCAGATTCAAGAACCCTAAAAACCTATCACTTGTGACTTTCCAGAACTTTAAGGAAACATTTGAGGAGTTCAAGAAAGTGGGCTTAGAAAGAGAGAGAAGTGTTTTTTGTTGGGTTAGCTGGCAGGCAATTAAGGAGTTACTGAAATGTAAACTGTAAAGGAAAAGATTAGGTGTGTCATCACTGTCATGTTTGAGACTGGTGAAGATGAAAGTGGGAAAATTCTTGTTGGAAAAGAAACAAATACTACCTCCCCAAATTGGGGTTTAAGAGGAAATATATCTCATTTTTTGAAATTATTTTTTATTTACAAATTGGTATATCGATAAGAAATAAAAATTACTCCGTACATGTTAAAAAACTACATCAAAAGTTCTTCAAAACGAGATGACAAGAATATTTTATTTTATCAAATACTTAATAAAATCATATAAACAAATAAATATTATCGAAAGGAGAAAAAAAAGAAAATGTAATCAAATTGGGGATAAAAAAGGCTTGTCAATTTAATACTCCGTACGACTGAGCTACTACGAGCAACTGCTTCTTGCGGGAAACAAAACTCGGCCCCATTTTTGCCCTCTGTCTACCTCGTGTTTGGTTTATGTTTTGATGTTTAAATTTCTTTAAAATTTATAATTAGTCCTTTATAATAAAAGATTTTTTTATTTAGTTTTTTATTATGAAATATTAGTCCTATGATCCTTTTATGAATAACTTTTTACAAATAGTCTTTTTTTATCTACTGTAATGTGGTGTTAATTTGAGAGCTAAAAATATAATTTCACAATGATCATATACCTTTCTTATCATGTACAATTCCAGAAGCTGTTCCTGATACATCTTTTGTGAGCCGCTCTCTAAAATAATGATAGTCTACAGATGTGGTCTTCCGTCAGGAATCGTAATCGACAGTCATAGTCATTATTGTTATGTTGTCCGTCTAACCGACATCGGAATACGGAAGTAGACATATGATTGATGTCAAATTACACTTTAGCTGTCAAATTAACAATAATATGACAGATTGTCAAAAAATAACTATTTATGAAAAGATATTTAAAAAAGAAGAGCTACGGGATTATTGGTCTTTTATAACAGAAGATTTTCATATTTAATCATCTATTGTCAAATATCACTCCCGCAAACAAAGGACCATGCGGCTCTAATTATTATTATTATTATATTAGTAGTAGTAATAATAATAAGTAATTTATTAAGAATATTACTCCCTTTCTTTCCTAGATAAAATTCATTTTTTCATATTCACATGGTTAAATTTTATTTATATATTTTTACGGAGTATTTGTTTTTTATTAACCATTTGATAAAATAATACGGTCATCTCATCTTTTGTTGGAAATAATTTTTTATGTAATTTATTTATTTTTAAAATGAATTGAAATAAAATAAATTCTAGTCATTCATCATAAATTCAACTGTAACTTTGGTTTGGGGAATTTCTAAACATCATTTTGGATTCATGTCACTAGCTTACATGAGTTACATCATCCGAGCTGCAAAGCAATGTTCTGAAAACCGGACCGGACGTCGACTCGGACAAGGCACTGGGTCAAGGGTTAATCGGTTGAACCGGGGTCAACTTGGGTCAACGACCCGGTCAACATACCCATACATATTACAACTACTTAATGTATTTTTAAATACTCATACTTTGTAACATTTCAAATTTATGTTTAAGTGATTGAAATGAGAAAAAATAGAATAAAAACACTTAAGTTCTAACTAATTAAATTATAATTAGTAAATACTTAAGGGTATTATTTCATTTTTAAGAATGTTAAGTGAAGTTTAAAGTATAAATGATTCATGTTTATTTTTAGATGAAAAATAAATATTGTTTTACATAACGCAAAATATCTGTACAGCACAACATTTTGTGTCTGTATGTGTCTTTTTATACTAAAACAAATCATTTTTGCATTGTATATTGACATTATTTTTATACTAAAACAAATCTTATATTACTAATATCAATATACAATGCAAAAAAGCATTGTAAAATGAAAACATAAAATGTCAAGTTGTAGTATTGCACAATGTCAACATTCATATTTATTTAGACAAAATGTTGAATAAATTCAATGAAAAACTTTTTATAAATATGAATAAAAATAAAGAGAAAATAAAAGGAAACATAAATGTACCATAAAAAATATTACATCATACACAATTCATACCATAAACTAATACTCCCTCCGTCTCTAAAAAATTGTCACAATTTGACTTTTTTTGGTTAAACTGTAGCACTCTTTGACTACGAATTATAGTTCAAAATAGTATGCTATTATAAAAATTTCAAAATATATTTTAAAATAAACTCAATTTTACTAAATTTCCTTTTCCATAATTCATGATCAAAAAGTGTTACAATTTAACCAAAAAAATCAAACTGTGACAATCTTTTAGGGACGAATGGAGTAAATACTTAAATAGATCAATCATGTACTATACCTTGAATATGGTACTGTAAATACTTAATATATCAATTAAAATTTAAAACCACATACTCTATATTTTACCGTATTTCTTTTGAATAATTTTTTTAAAATTATGTAAAACTGAATTATTAAATGATCATTCGTACTCTACATTTAGAAGATGATTCTCTACGCTTTATTAGTGATAATGATCCGGTATCGTTTCGGAATAGTCAAGGTTGAGTACCTTCGAACTATAGACTTGAGAAAAAGGAAGAGATTGAGAAGGGAAAGGAGAAGACAGCCATTGATTGGCGAAGAGGGAAGAGGGAATTTAGAGTTAGGAAAACATTTATTTATGGATTGAAGAATATACATTTATTTATATAATTTTGCAAATAATTTGATCAAAAGAGAGAAATGAGAAAATCAACTTAAAGATAAGTAGGTAAGATGCTAATAGGGTGTTTGGGAGTAATTCACGTGACAGTAAAGTGATTTTCACAAAAACTGAAAGAAAAAACATCTTATATCTACTTTTTTCTAAACTGTTTTCTATCTATAAAATAGTGGTGCAGAAAAGCAGAAGTTGACATGCTAGACACTGACAGCTACCCACCTAAAGGAGAAGCTAAAATCTTAAAAGCATCTCGCCGACAAAGGTTTTCTAAAGACCTATATATTTTTTACTATAACTCATTAGTTATAAGTCATTAGTTTATAAGCACAGAAAAATATATCATAAGCTGACATGCTAAATATAGACAGCTACCCCGTAAAGCAGAAGCTAAAATCTTAAAAACATCTCCCCGACAAACACTCTCTAAAGACCTACTTGTTTTTTACTCCGTAACTTAAAAGCAGCTTATAACTCATACATTATCATTTTATAAACACATAGAAACATGTCATTGGCTGACTTATAAGTTAAAACGTTATTTATAAATAATTTTGACTAGTTTATAAGTTGTTTTAAGTTATAAGTCACCTGGTGACGTATTTAACTTATACTTCCTATGGTCCTAAAAAACTCTGTTATTTTAATTTTTTTGATCAAAGAGTGACACCCTTTGACTATAAATTACCGAGAAAATTATATTTAAATATAATATAATTAGGTTCATCTTAGGATATAGTTTTGATATATCAAATTTTTATATCATTTATGTATTTAAATTATATTTAATTTGTAGTAAAAGAGTGTCACTGTTTAATAAAAAAGAATTCAAAACTAGAAAAGTTTTAGAACCGTAGAGAGTAAATTTTAAAAAATAAATAGATCTTACTTACCGATTTTTAAATCAATTTTTTTATTTCTCTAATGATTAGATTATTTACAAAACTAACTCTCACCATTTATAATTATATCAAATGACTTATCTATTATTTAATTCATTTTATTATTTATAAAACAGATTCAAAATAATCAATTAATGGAAATAAAATGCAAAGAAAAATGCTAGGAGTACACCAAAGGTGTACCCCATATGTGTCCCACTCTCTCTGTGTCTACTAAAAAAGGCAAAAAAATTAAAAAAAAAGTAAATAAAAATCAAATAAAAATGTGTGATGGAGAAGGAGGTGATATATATTTGGGGTACACCTTTTGGTGTACCCCTAGCATTGCTCAAATGCAAATGATTCATAATTGTGTACAAAAACGCTAGGGGTACATCAAAAGTGTACCCTAAATGTACCACACCCCCTCCATCACCATATAATTTGGCAAGTAAAATAATAAATAAATAAATAAATAAAATGAGTGGTAATGGAGAAGTTGACATACACTGATTGTAAAGAAGAGTATTTATAAATAAATAAATAAATAAATAAATAAATAAAATAATAAATAATAAATAAATAAATAAACTGTTTTCGATCTATAAAATAGTGGTGCAGAAATGCAGAAGTTGCATGCCAAACACTGACAGTCTATCCCAATGTACCCCTAGCATTACTTACTCTGTGCATTTGTGCTCCTGATATCTTCTTCTTCTCCAACTAAACTTTCTAAACATCGGAAGGAAACTGCTATGGCTGTTCTACCCTTCTTATCTTCTCCAAAGATCCTCCCTTTTCCTCAGTCCAGGCAAATTCAACTTTCTCATGCCCCAAATTCTCCCAAATTCACTTTTTCTGCTGCGTCGCACCCTATACACGGTATTCCCTATGGCCGAGGAGCCATGGCTAGGGTTTTGGAGGTCGCTGGGATTGATTTAGCCTCCGTTTCCGGATCCGCTTCGGCTGAACCTCCCAATGCTCTTTCTCTGCCCACCTGGGCTGTTCATGTCTCCAGTGTTATTGAATGGTATAATTCTTTTCCATTACATGGCCTTGTTTGGCACTCATCTTTTAGCTCTTACTCTCTCTGGGTCGCGAAAAAAAGGTTCACATTTTCTGTTTATTTAGCAATGATTCAATGAACTACTCAATTCCACCTTTTTTTAATAACTGTACCTTGTCAAATATGGAACTTTGTTTGGGACAAAAGGAAGAAACATTTATGTTAGCCATATGTGCTAGCTCTAGTAACTGGTAAGATGAGGTTGTCAGCTGCTTGGGTGGTGTTAATGTAAAAACTTGTAGAAAAGGGCTCCGTTCGATATTAGATATAGTGTTTAGCGTCAATAGTTTGGAAATGTTATACAATGGTAATCTTTAGCGCGTTAGCATTTTCAAAGTTAATATGCACCATTAAAAATTATCTAAAACACTAGCATTGATTAAAAAAACTTGTTTCCCGAAGCCAAGAAATTGTACCAAAAAAGCTTGAGAAGCGCGTTTTTTGAAATCCAACTTTTTGGTCCAAAGATTTTTGGTCACCAAACAATTCTAATACGGAGTAGTTGTTTGGGTGATCATTTACCTAACGAAAGATTGATTTGACAAAAACCACCAATCATTATTGTCAAACACTCCTATATACGCCATTTTGCATCACTTGTGTTTGTCTTCACATCTAAAAGGTAGGTTCTTGCTCATATGACTCTATAGACATTAGTGATTAAATTAAGCACTCCACTTTTGTAATATGAAGCTTTTCTTTTCAATTTGAGATTCTCCTTGAGCTAATCTTTGTCTCGTAATTTTGATGGGGAATAGTTCACTTTAAAGCTATATATGAGGTTAAGATAATTAAGGCTCAAGCATAGAACAAATGCCTTACTGTCATGTCCTGTGGGGATGTGCTAGAGGTTGGTAGCTTTACGAAGAACTGAAGAGGTAGTGATAGACCACAGAAGAGTTGGGTTGAGATGATTAGACATGACGTGTTGTTTTTCCTCCTTACCGAGGACATTCCCTTAGGTCGTGGAGTTTGGTGGTCAAAGATTATAATGTAATGTAAAACAGGTCTCGAGTTATAGACTTATAGGAGAGAGTTTGGTGTAGATAGGTACCTTTGTACGTTTTTTTTTGTTTTGTTTTTTTATTTACTCTTTCTTCATTTTGCGTAATTGTTTAACTTCTGCTGCTCATTTGTTAATATTTCCTCAGTTCCGGAACAATTGCAAATTGCAATACTTGCCTTTTCATGCTTGGCAATGCACAGATTAGATCATTGATACCTTGAATTGTGTTTCCATAAAAAAATATGGAGTGGTGGGAGTACAAAAAATGTTATATTATGAAAGTTTTTATCGAAATGAATCTAACCAAATCTCACATGACTATGACTATATTTTAACTTACATATCAACCACAAAAGATGTCAACATGTGTGTCTATGTGAATAGTATGAAACTATGAATCTTTGACCGTTGTGATCATTTTGAAATGGGGGAAGTAATTGATTATTCTAACATGTTATTTATATTCTTTTGAGCCCAATGTCTTTCCTAAACAAGCTCTCAAGCTTTATAAGTAACAATAAGGTCTGGTTTCACCTGCCCTCGACCCCATGTCCCCACCTATAGGACATTACATGGTTGTTGTTGTTATTGTTGATATTGTTGTAATGTTAGATATGAGCTTCCTCCAGCTTATGCTCTAAATTAATTTACTGAACTGTTGATTCATTTCCTATTTATTTAACACTTACAAGGGCTATATTAAACAATTAAAAGGGCTACTGCAATGGCTTTGGTTTGGCAATATGGGGAGAGGTCGGGATTTGAATCCTGGAAGGGGCTATCGTGGGGCATGGTAAGTCATTGTTCCATTTTTCTTTTTGTATCAGTTTACAATATTTCATCTTTTTCTCAACATTTGTTTTTCAAATCTGGTGATTAATCCTTGCAAAGCCAAGATATTCACAATACGATCTATCTTAGAACAAAGGAATGCAGTATTGTTGATTTGCACTGGGAAAATGTTGTAATATCTTTAGAATGCATTAAAAGTTTGCAATAAAGATTCATGTATGAGGCCTTGAAACTAAGAACATACTCAACTCTTGAGTCTATTTTTCCATGAACTTATAATTTTGGTCAAATGTTATTGGCAGTGTACTAGTGTTTGAAAACCATTCATGTAGATGCGTTATTGTGGGTTCACATTAAGGCATCTTACATAATCTCAATATAAAGACACAAACAAAAAACTTGAACTACTGCTCCTCATTTTAGTATGAAACCTACGTTTGAATGGAGTTCTGAAATCATGTTCCCTTTGAATTGTTGTGCAGGTGCCATTGCTCGGTGGAGCACTTTGTGCATGCACATGGCATTTCTTCTATAACTCGGAATCTCTTGAGGTAAACAGATGAGGCTCGTATATAATACTTCCTGCGTCCCATAAAACTTTTTCAGAGTGAAAAAAGGCATGCCTTAAAAAATCTAATTTTGGTGTTATTATCTAATTCTCCCCTTATTTTATAATAGGGTAGGATTTGATGTGCATGATAAATGAGTCATAATTAGAAAATAATACCAAAATTATACATTTTTAAGGTGCAGTTTTTTTCACTCCGGAAAAGTTTTATGGGACAGAGGAAGTATAAGACATAAAACATCATTCCGCCCTTCTTTTGAATGGCTTTCCTTGTGAAATTGATGTTTGCTTGCATGAAATTTTGAAAATTAACAAAACAACAATGTTTTGAGTGTGTTTTGCGTGTTTTATTTGGGTATATGTTTATTTATTTCCATTCTCCTGTGGAGCCAAAGATTCACTACTTTTTTGCTTTGGAGTATGATGGAATAAAGCAAATTGTCTTTTTAAACTGCCTCTGCTTCTTGCAATTGTCTAGTAGCAGTTAGTCAATGCAACTCTCGACGCTCACCATGGGTCATCTGGAAACAGCCGCTCACTGTTTTAAACGATAGGGGTCAGACTGCGTGCATCTGACCCCCACCCTTACCCCGCAATGGACTGGAGCCGTTGAGGCACTGGGATATTGTTGTTGTTTGTACTTGGGTATATGTTTGCCCAAAATGACGTCAACTCAATGGGATTGTGTCAAGGCATCAATAAAGCTTGTCAACTACTCAACTCAGATGTCATGTCAAAAACCAACCCAACCAAAAGCTCAAATTGATGGTTGTAGGTTCAATAAAGGTTTTATAGTCCAAAAGATAGTAGCATTGAATTTGAGGTTGTAATGATTTAGAATTTGAATGTTCTTCGAAACCTTTTAGACTTTTTACCTATAAGAGAGTCTGATTTCTGCGTCTGCCACCGTATATATCTTTCAGGTTTTAGTGGCTCTTCAAGCGGCTTTGACTCTGATTGGTAATGCCACAATGTGCATTGCTGCGTTCCGGATATACAGATCGTCTGAACAGAGTTCCAAATAAGAATTGCTTCTTTATTTATTCATTCTTCTTGTCAGGTCCTATTAGAATTCATAGTTTATATTTATGAAATGAGAATGTCGTTAACTCATGTATTCTCAAAATAATTTGGCATTTTATGAGTTTGTAGATAATCAAAGGTATCCACATTTAAATATTATTTAAGAATTTCGTACTCAAATTAGAATGACGGGGCGAATCACCCCGACCCCGCCACCACTACCGCCCGTTGCCTATCTCCCCCAGCCCTGCAATCGAACTCCACAAAATTTGACTAGATTCTCAGCCAATTTGGGGTACTTCTATCCTAAAATGTTTTATACTATATGTAAAATGAAGTGAAAGTTTAATTTTTTGAATTCATTTTATTCAAAGATTGATATAGAAATTAAAAATAGAGTTTACATATCTAAAAGTTTATAAGAAATGACAAGACTATTTTATTTTATCAAATAATCAATTAAAAATTCACAAATAAACAAAAATTTATGTGACTTTTGAATAGTGAATAATGATTTTTTTTGGACGGGAGAGTATAATACAATTTAAATATTATTAGACACCTTAAAATTTAATTTTGAAATATCATCTTTTTGGTGTATCTTTTTTGCTAACATTTCATGTCGGCTCTCTTTTATCTTCGTTTTTTATGGAGTAATATCTCGGATATTTTGATACCAACTTATGGTGTTATATTATGTCATTCATTCAAATTAAAGTTCTAACAATGTTCTGTTTGAAAAAAATGATTTCTAATAATAGATGCTTAATTTACACTCTTCTGTTCTATGATAATGTTTCAACTGTTTTGTCTGTTCAAAAAAAAGTTTCACTTTTCGCATTTGACAAAGTTTTTGTTTCATATTATTTCCCTCTCCTCCGCATGACTCACAATCACTAACTTCTACGTTTATTAATCTTCATGCCCGACCAATTATAAAACATTATTACATGACGGAAGAAGTAATAAATTTGGTGTTTTGGGTGCGACTTATAAAGCTTTTAGTACTCCGTATTTTTTCTAAGCGGGCATACCGTGCATCCTATGTGTACGAGCTACTCAATTAATTTAAAAAATTTAAAAAAAAGTTCCATCTAAATAATACAGAGTAATTTTTCGTTAATGTGAATAAGGTATGTTCTCTTTCATCTGATCTGATTAATTCTGATTTAAATTTATTAAAATTAAATTGATATAATTCTACTAATTAAAATACTTTTTTACCTAATCTGATCGGGTCAAATCAAATTTTAATAAAAAATAAATAACAAGTGATAAGAGTAATAAAAATAAATTGAAGAGAACAAGCGATGAGAGTAATAACAATAAATTGACCTCTCCCTATTCAAAATCTTGTATAAACACTTGTAGGAGTTGTAGGTGTCATTTGCCTTTGTATTTTTTTCTTCATCTTTGGGTTGATTCTCTTCCAGAAATAGTTGATTCTGGGAAATCAATCACTTAATTGTGTATGGAAAACTAGATTTTGAGCAAAATAAAAAACTGATTCTTTTTAAAATCTAAAACAAATGCAATACTCTGCTAATACTAGAATGAGAATCAACCATAATACCTGCTTTGCAAGGGTCAAATGATGGGTGAATTTTTGTAGCAGAAATAGAACCCCCACACAATATCTCATTTGTTGTACCTTACCATTTTTTTAGTCAGTAGAGACACTCTAAATACAAACTTTATATTGCAACACAAAAAAAATACAAACGTAATCAAGACCAACTGTGGAGCGGGGAGCTCTTCCCGTCATGGAGACTTGAAGGCCTGACTATATGGTCTATAAGACCATACTCAAGAGCTTCTTGGGAACCAAAACGCTTCACCCTGCTCAAGTCCGAATAGATCTGCAGATTTACAGTATATGCAGAGCGCATAATATAAACAAATGTCGCNAAAAAAAATACAAACGTAATCAAGACCAACTGTGGAGCGGGGAGCTCTTCCCGTCATGGAGACTTGAAGGCCTGACTATATGGTCTATAAGACCATACTCAAGAGCTTCTTGGGAACCAAAACGCTTCACCCTGCTCAAGTCCGAATAGATCTGCAGATTTACAGTATATGCAGAGCGCATAATATAAACAAATGTCGCATATGAGTTTTTTTTAAGAATAAGGAGTATATAATAAGCCTATAAGTAGATAATTTATCAGTAATGACATGCCTAATAGTAGACTAAGGTTCATAAAATTGATTATTTGACGGTAAAATTCTATGTTTTTGTAGACGACGATTCAGGTTTAATCAGGTACGTGGTTATGTACCTCCGGGGGTATTTTTGTAGTTCTTTTGAGGATTACTCATCGTACCTTCAAAGAATTCTCTTTTCATTTTTACTTTCTCTTTTCGTAATTTTTTTAATCTGTTCAAGACAGATGCTCAATCTTTAAAAAATATGGAGTACTCGTTTTCTAGTTAAAGAATGCACATTTGTAGACATTCGATGTACGATACCTTTTCAACAGGGTGGCCTGTCTTCTCAGCCAACTCTTTAAAAAGGTAATCTCTAATCCGGAGAAGTTCATCCGCTTCATTGCGTATGTCAGCAGCCTAAAGAAGATTAATAACATTATGGATGAGAGAGCTAAAATTTGCAATATGTATTCTCTCACACATATGTGTTGGAACCAGACCTGCCCACGAGCAGCACCACCCGGAGACGATAAAGCAATTCTTGAAAGAGGCATTGAAGAACGTTTGCCCTACATACACAAATGGCAAAACAAGGTCATGAGCTACTTTGGTGTTCAGTTTCAGCAATCTGCTAACAAGTATTTAAGGATTTTCTTGGGGTATAAATATAAAGCTTGAGTTTAATTAGGTCTTAAAACAAGTTAGATGCGAGTATTTGACAGATGATTAGGATGTCTTGGCAAAAAAAATTATAAGATAAAAAATATTACCTTCTCCCCAGCAGCAAGAAGAAAACCAGAAAGATGGTAGGCATATCCCACACAGTGTGTACAAACAGGGTTTTTTATAGATTGCATTGTGTCATATATGGCCAAGCACGGTGTGAGCTGTAATGTAGGTTTGATCAAATAAGGAGAAGAAACCCAACAAAGTAACAAAATGTCATTCCAAAGAACTCACATCACCACCAGGGCCATTTATGTACAAATATAGTTTCCTCGAATCATCAACGCTTTCAAGATAAAGCATTGTGGCCAATAGCTGGTTGCTGAACTCTTCATCTATCTCTTGACCAATAAAAATAATACGATCGCGGTACTGCATCCAGAACATAGACGTCTTCATATTGAATAGGTAGTAATAATAGTTTACTAAAATTAAATATGTGGGGAATTGTTGCAGAGGAAGGTTGTTAAAATCACAGCAATATATAACCATGGCTGTACAGTTATCTTTCATCAACAAGCCTTGATGTCATATAAATGAAAAGGGACATAATCCATGACAAGTCAATTGAATACAAGACTACAAAAAATCTTCTAATCAGTGGTACTCTACGTTAAATGTCAAAAGCTAAAAAAAATGCAAGATGCAACTTACAAGAGCATTCCACAAGTCGACCCACTGCCAAGTCCCTTCATCTGGGTTTCGGTAAAGCACTTGTGGCGTTGCTACACACATCATGGAAACCCGCCGACGAGTCGGTTTACCTTTAAAGTTTCTACAAACGGACAAACAACTATTGCTTCAGTAAAATATTATTTTTTAAAAAATTCAAAAATAAGACCGAGCATGACATTGCAAAAAGACACTTGCTGAAGCTGTTGTATCCAGTCTTGCGTCCTAAGAGAAAATGTTTAGGGGCCTAAAATGCATGAATCGTTTAACTGCTATATAGAGAAAGATATGCATTAACTTTTTAGGGCGTCATAAAATAATAAGAAATAAATAAAAAGGTTGGACAATGTGAACAAAATTTTGCATTTCTAACACCCCTTGTGGATCAAGGATTTTAAGCATATCAATGGTGGGTGGCAATAAGGGAGGGTATCAAAGGAAATTATGTATTGCATAAGTTGCAAGGGTACAAACAACTTAAAATAAGATTAACCTTTGGATTTGAAATCACTGATCATCCTCACCTACGTGGCAGGCACCAACCATAATTACCAGAACATCGTGTTCTTAGTAACAAGGGAAATCTTTAAAAATATACAAAATGTGCGACATAAAATATGTTTGAGGAATCCTAGATGTTGTCCAGTTAAGGATGGTAAACAAGGGCCCATTCTAGATATTTATCAAAGACTTGTATCATTTGTAATGCAATGTCACCTGATGTGAAATACTAGAAACACATACTACGTATGTCTATGGTTACCCAATAGCGAGAGTTTTGCAAGGGGACTGAAGTTGGCTTCCTTGAGACAAAAGCTCATATTTTAAAGATCTTCAGATCTTCAGAACGGGTTTCATGAAGAAGCCAGAAGGGTATGTCGACAGATTCTGGTGGATTTGGGATAAACGGAATTTAGTGTGAATGTTTATCTATTTGATTTGGAAGGCATAGACATGATCATGGGAATTTTGTAGTTAGCTACCTTATAGGAAATGGTTCTTGATGAGGTAAAACAGATCATCATATTTCTTTTTTTCAGAGAGGGTCATATGAGACATATGGAGAAAAGAGTCATTTTTTACATTGTTTTAGTTTCGGGTAAATATCAGACTAAATGAAAATGGCACATTAGACTTCACTTGCTTCTCTTTTTCTATGAGGTTTTGACTTTTGAGCAGTAAATCTAGAGTCTCACAGAAACCGTCATTCTATTTTTGAAGGGGTAAGGCGCAAAAACCAGACTAGGATTCTAATGGGTTTGTTGTAAGGCCATATGGTAGAGCCAAAGTGTAGAAGGGAAATATCTGATTCCTCTATTTCCCTGCAGTGTAATTGGCAAACAGAATTGTTTGGTTGAGTCTCAATGCCCGCTGCCATCTCTTGTTAACCCTAGGAGACAGGAGTTCTAGGTAAAGGGGTCCCTGCAGCTGGAACCAAAACAACAAAGTGGCTTGGGGAAAATTCTTTTTCAACAAGCTATGGTGTTGATAGAACCCAAGATAGGCACAGAGAATTGGGGAAGGAAAATCTTTATCAAAATATGAAATCTCTATAGAGGATCAGCCTAAATCTTGGATCCACTAGCTGCAATGGGCAGATTTTTGGTATTTACGGTTATCGGGGGAAGTAGGGGAAGGGGTAGACCTAGGAAGAATTGGAAGGAGGTGATTAGGCAGGATTTAGGACTTCTCGACCTGACTGAGAACATGGCCCTAGATAGGAACCTTTGGAAAACTAGGATTAGAGTAGCTGGATAGGAGCTCGGTGTTGTAGAGGTTGTTTTGTAGTGTGTTGTATTTGTTTGGAATCTTTTGCTATTGCTTGTACTTGTTGCTTGTACTTGGTACTTTGTCTGTGTTATACTGTGTTCCCTTCCATATTTTTGTGCAGGTGGAGCCGGGGGTCTCTTGGAAACAGCCTCCCTACTTCCGAGTAGGGGCAAGGTATGCGTACACACACCCTCCCCAGACCCTACTGTTGTGGGATTCACCTGGGTTGTTGTTGTTGTTGTTGTTGTTATAGGCTAACCCCTTCAGCAGTTATTCATTTCTCTCAAGGGGAAACATGAGTGGTTGTTGTCCACAGGGAGTTGGTGGATCGAGATGAAGCATTGAAACAGTTGAAACACCACCTGTTGTGAGGCCAAACTCGAATGTAAAGTCAGGCAGATAGAAAAGAGTGGATTTTATTTTTGAAGAAAGTGATTAGACATTCTTGAAGCTACAACCACATCATCAACAATATGTAACTGCTAGGGTTATTCGGTTATTCCTAAACTAGCAGCCAGGTATTATGATCTTTATCAGGTGGTGCAAAACACAAATCCGTTGTTGTAAAGTAGTAGTAACTAGCAACAGTTTTCATAATTCTACAAACACAGCTCTCACACATTTTCTCCTTGTGTGATAGGACTTATCAACTTTCCAATAAAAATTAAAAGAAAAACAATTAAAAAATAACCCAATTAAGAAGTGTTATAATCTCCATTTGTATGGTTTCAATAGATATTTTTCCCACATCTTTAGCATTATTTAAAAACTATCTGAATACCAGTTGAAATGGCAACCAGCTCTAATTGGATCATGAGATCATCAAGCCCGAATATATGATACAAAGGCAAAACGAATGTAGAAATAATTAAAAAAAGGATAATTGAACTTAGGGAGAGCATTACACTTAACTGTAGAAAATCCCATGGGTATAAACTAAGGGGCTCACATAACCGCTGGTTACGAATTTATAATTACAACATTAACATGATAAGCAAATAAATCACCAAGGATCACACCTAAAAAATCCCCAATGGACAATACAAACCAAAATATGGTAACTGGCAAGCTAATTTCTCAGTCCCACTCAAAGTTTAAAACATTAATCAGAAAAGGAACAGAAGAAAAATTTGAGACAGGTAACCCTAATGATTCAAGAGTCTTTTATTCTTGTTTTGTAAGTTCAATGAAAACCCAGGAAATTGAAGCTCTACAATGTACCTGGACAATGTCAAACCCTTGTGAAATTCAACATTTCCATTACATGAAGCTCGTCCAGGAAAATCTATCCAAACACACGGTATAACAGAGCGCAAACCATCAATTCATGAATTAAAACCCGAACAATAGCGAACTCCAGATCCGAAAAAATTTCCCGAGTGATAAAAAAGGGCAGAGAACACCGACCTGGGGTTTGAGCTCTAACACCAACACGAACTTTGCTCGGGCCACTGCAAGAAGACGAAGAAGAACGTGTGTTTACATTCAATTCAATCCAACTCAATTCAAATATTGTGATATGCAACAATGAGCGAGAAGAACCTTAAAGAAGATTGTGCGAACCGAGCTCGAGATTGTAGGCCAGGTGAGATCGCTGGGGAGAAAGAGGCGGCCATTGATGTTCTTGCTCGCCACAAACTAACACTACACCATAATATACTTAGACAAAAATATTTTCAAAAAAAAATGAGCATTTGCTCTATTTCAGATTTTCAGTAGAGTTGTTAGTAACTAAAGAGAGTTTTATCGTGCAACATTCACCGGACAGAAAAATATTTTTCACTATATAGACTTTGTCTCTTATCTAAAGTAGAGACACTGTGTATAAAAGGAAAAAAAATATGTACACTCAAACTCAATCTATTTTTTTAAATAAGTGTAGGATTTATTAATTCTCATTTCATGATAAAAGGACAACTTCCATCTTAGAAGTTGGTTTGCATCTAAACTCCCTTTTCTGTATTTCTAAAAGAATAATTGTCCGACCATCATAATTGAGGTAGATTAAGCTAAAATGAGAGGAGATTTAACAATACCCATAAAAAATGTATACACAAATATTTCTATGCATTCTTACTCAATAAATGTAGTGAGTCGTTTTAATTTTTGACAAAGCATAATTGTAGTCTAATGTTTCAGCAAATAAAATTTTAATTTCAATCTTACTTTAGGGTAATAAAGTACTACGTATAATATTTTGGAGTCAAAATAGATAAACTTTGAGTCTTTGTTGCTCTTAATATGTATTGCATATTAATATGATGAAATAAAATTATGAAAGTTTTCAATAATATAAATAATAAATTTATTTTATACTAATATGCATTACATCTTTTTTTTAATTGAAGCTAACGCTGGTTGAATGATCAATATTCTGGTAGTCAGTAGTGATTGGCGGAGCGAATGGACTGAAGATATTTTGTTTGTATTTATATTTCCATTCAACTTACTCATTTATATTATAATAATATTTTAAGATGTTGTTTGCAAAAGCTTCCACAATGTTTTTGATTTATTATTGGGATGAGACTATGTTTTAAATGGTGATGAATATTTTTATCTTAAACGGTTTTGTAAATATTGTTCACATGGTTACCATATTGTGTGATAACCATGTTCGCTAGTCCATGAGTTTGAGTTATGCATGTTTAGGGTGTTACAAATTTTATTATTTGGACTTCAGCCGTCAACACCCAAAATGTTATAATTTAAGATCGATTCAAAATCTAATTTTCTCTCTTATCACTTAAAGATCATACTTCTGCGCTGTCGGGCATTATCATTAGATGTTAGCGTTAGTGATTTAAAAAGGTCATCTCCTTTAGTGTTAATGTTTCCAAAATTAATCATCACCATTAAAATTTTATCTAAAATGCTAATGTTAAGCGAAAACATTATTCCCAAACAAGGCCTTCATCTTCTCTACATCTTATTTTATGTTTTTCAGTGAAATCAATCTTTAATGTATTTTTTCGGCTACATCTCCAAAGTGAATACAGAAATAAGCTCTCCACTTAAATTTTTTTGATCTATTACACTTATATTTAAATACTCTTAATAGTTTATCTATGCATCCTATCGTATCCAAGGAACACTTGCTAGGAGTGCTATCAATTAAATTGCATCCTAAAGATGATCTCATTTTTTCATTGGCATATGACCCATAAAATGTTATGAATTATATTGATTACCAATTGAAATCAGAACTACAATTATCTTTTCTAATAATTATTTGGATTAAATTTGACGAAACACATTTTTAAGACGCTTTCGTGTTTGATATTGTGATATTTAAATTCTATGGTGCTTTGTTTGACATCAAGATAGTTCTTATCCTCTTAAACTTTCTTTGTGTTGGTCTCCATTACTTAGTCTTATTGCATTCACTAAAACATATCGTTGAAACTAAGGAGACGATCGAGACATGCAGGAGGTGGGAATTGAATGAGAATTTGTGGATGGTGAATCACTTTGAGGCGTAATGAAGCATCGTGAGATCTCCAAATAGTCGGTATTGAATTATGACAGGTGTTTGTTAAAGAAAATGTGTTAGGGAGCTTATGTGAAGCATTAGTTGATATATTTTCAAAGTTTTTTTTGTTAAGCAACCTTCATTAAAGATGCTTTTAGAACCACACAACAAGTAACCAATTTGAAAAAAATGACATAAAATTACTCTGGCGTACTTATGATTTTTTGTTACAAACTCACACGTCCCATATTATTTAAAATATACGAAGTACTTCAGAATATTTTTTATTTTTTGGTAAGAACTCTTATCATCTGAAATAAAATCTGATGATCCAAAAAGTTTTTAAAGACTTCGAAGTATATTTCAAATAATACGAAATGCAATAAAAATGTCCACCACTTACCTCAATCCGAACGCGGGCTTGGGTGGGCGAAGACCAACTCACTCACTCACTCACCATGTTAATACCCTTTGGCGTGTCAGTTTTAAACACCACACACCCGCTCTTAACTGGTTATTTTTCCCTCTTTTTTTTTTTCTCATTTCAATTGATTTCCTCCAGGCTACCATCGGCGACGTGTTTCCGATTACGCATGGCTTCTCCGGTGCAAGCAGTCCATCCGGGCCGGGTCCGGGTTCTGAAGCAGGCAACCGGGGCTCCACCGGCGGCGGCGGCCGGTCCGGTGGTGTACTGGATGTTCAGAGATCAACGGGTGAGGGACAATTGGGCGCTGATCCACGCCGTCGACCAGGCTGACAAGGCCAATGTCCCCGTCGTCGTCGCGTTCAATTTGTTCGACCAGTTTCTGGGCGCCAAAGCCAGGCAGTTAGGGTTTATGCTCCGAGGCCTCGAAAAGCTCGTCAGCGATCTCCAATCGACTCTTGGTATCCCCTTTTTCCTATTTCAGGCAAGTTTTCTGTTAAGGGTTGCAAAATCATTTGGAACTGATACTGGAAATTGGAATCTTGACCTAAAAATTCGAAATTTAACTACTTAGATTCGAAGTGTGTTGAAAATGACTGGAGATATGTGCAAAATGTCTTGAAAAGACAAAGTTAAAATCAATAGAAAGAGGACTTTTGGGTAAATTTAGAAATTTTATGTAAAAAGAATAAAAGATGTACTAAGGTGTATATATATGGGCTATTTCGGTGAATATATATGGTCCATTACCTAAATTTTTTTGCCATTAAGATTAATTTTCTCAAAACTATTTAAAGAAGTCATTGAAAAATGAAATTGAAAATCGAAAATACCGAGTATAAATTGAATATTGAAAGGTGACTAGAAAATACAAGAGCTGAAAAGTTAACTAATTACTTCCTACATTAGGAGTGTTTGGTAAAAGTAATTGAAATTGAGTAAAATAACACAAACAAGATTAAGATGTTAGGATTAATTGAAAAAAAGGAACTCAGGTCATAGTTGATTTTTTTTTTTGTAAAGAGTGACTGAAATACTCTTTACATCCCTAAATAAACTTTACTTTTACTATTCACAATGTCAAACTACACCGTATTTCCTTACTTATTTACTTTAATCATTTGTTAAAATAAAATAGTCAAGTCATCTCTTATTCACTTGTTTTGTACACTAAACTAGTCACCTGAAGTGACTTGCCAAACATAACCTTTCATTGTAGCTGTTTAATTTTGTTGGGTTTGACTTGACTTTTGAGCAGGGAGAGGCGATCAACACAATTCCCAATTTCATTAGAGAATGTAGTGCTTCCCTTTTGGTAACAGACTTCTCCCCATTAAGAGAAGTGCGGAGCTGGAAAGAAAGGATATGTGAGAGTGTGGATGGTTATGTGGCAGTACATGAGGTTGATGCACACAATGTGGTTCCACTTTGGGTGGCATCTGGCAAATTGGAGTATGGAGCTAGGACTTTGAGAGGTAAAATAAATAAGCTTCTCCCAGAATATCTTGTTGAATTCCCTACTGTAGGACCTGTCAAAAACAACAAATTGGCCTTTCCAAACCATCCAGTTGATTGGGGACAGCTCATTGCAGACGTAGTCAGGTGAGATAAACAATAATTACCGAGCCATGTTTCCCTTTTTGGTGGTGGGTTGCTGTGAATCTGGCTGCTTGAATTAGGAAAGGAGCAGAAGTTCCTGAACTTGAATGGTGTGAGCCAGGTGAACATGCCGCGATGGAAGTACTGATGGGAATCAAGGATGGGTTTCTTACAAAACGAATAAAAAACTATTCCACTGACCGGAATAACCCATTCAAACCAAAGGCGCTCTCTGGACTATCCCCTTATTTACATTTTGGACAGATATCAGCACAAAGATGCGCCTTAGAGGCCCGCAAAATTCAGAAAAGTTATGCTAAGGTTTGATCTCCATTTTGATTATTATAGATATGCTAAAGTTTTGATCAATTTATTTTTAATAATATTCCTTTCTGCTTGTCACAAAAAAAATCTTTTCTGCTGACGTTACATGAACTCAAGTTCACAGAGTACAGAATACATTGAACTTTTTTTTCCGTGAATTTCCAACATACTTTATTTGACTTCAGCAAGCCACACTTCACATTTCTTCTCATTTACCCCTGATTGATGCTCAATTGTGAATATATGTGAATCATGCTTATTGGATGTAAACCCTGTTCATGAAGGCAGTCGATACATTTCTAGAGGAACTGATTGTGCGAAGAGAACTTGCTGATAACTTCTGCTATTATCAGCCCCAGTATGACTCATTACAGGGTGCGTGGGAATGGGCACGTAAAACCTTAATGGAACATGCAAGTGATAAACGCGAACATATATACACGTGAGTTTAAATACATTGTATTGTTGCTTTCTGAATTTGGAGCATTTATGTTTTCAAAATTATTTCTTTTTGATTCATAAGGAACACACTTTACTTCATCAAGCGGTTCTATTCCATTATTTCCCTGGGGTTCCTTGGTTCACCCGAAAAGCTCTACTGCCAAAGACCTTGTGGTCCAGCGGCCTGATGACCTCATGGTGACTTTCCCAAATGGGAGGTCACATGTTTGAACCCTAATGGGGGCAGTAACTCTATGTGTTTTAATAGGTTGAGAATGTATGAGCAGATACTTCATTGTAATAAAGTTGTTAGTGTTAAAAAACTCTACTGATATTTAGGTTTTAATATGATCTATGAGTTATGCAGTAATAGGTTCACAAGTTCAAGTACAATAGGTTAATGCATTGGTAAGATATTTATAAATTATTTTCGAGGTCTTGACCATTTTTCCTCTTTACAGTAGAGAGCAGTTGGAGAAGGCACAAACTGCAGATCCAGTAAGAAATTGCTATCCACATCATACTTAAGTATGCTTTATGCATGTGTTTATATGTGCTTTGAGTGATTGCTCCATTGTCTTAGAAAAACTTTGAGTGAAATCCATCTAATCTTTAATAATGCACATTTGTTGATCTTCATAGTGCAAGTGGAATTCCACTAATCTTTGAGCGATTGCTCCATTGTCTTATACTCTTTTGTGTTGTTTCAGCTATGGAATGCATCTCAGCTAGAGATGGTTCATCATGGGAAAATGCATGGATTTATGAGGCAAGTAGTTTGGTTTTGTTCCATTGCCTACATACATTTCCTTCTTTCAAATACCTTAAAGAATGGAAAGTATTACAAAAATGGAACCTCATTTCTTGCTTTTGTCAGCATCTCGCTTATAGTCACTTGTATGCAGAATGTATTGGGCTAAAAAGATCCTTGAATGGACAAGTGGGCCGGAAGAAGCTTTGGCAACAGCAATATATTTGAACGACAAGGTAATCGGGCCATAGATAATTGCTCTCCTTTGTCACTACCTGATATCAGCAATTGATCTGATTCTGATCAAATCCTCACTAATGCGGCGGATGATCTCACCTGCAGTATGAAATAGACGGAAGGGATCCGAGTGGCTATGTCGGTTGTATGTGGTCAATTTGTGGCGTACACGACCAGGTTAGGCATAAATGCTGGTTAAGATTTGCACGATTCCTTGTTCATGCTGTTGACAAATCGTCTAAGTTTAATTTATTTTTATATGCACGCAAAGCTTGTTCACTCTTCAACCCAGGTTTCAGCTCCCAGCACTAGTGTAGAATACACACACACATACATGCACACACACACACTGAATTAATGGGAAACAAAGTGGAAATTAATCATTCTTTCATTGCCATTCAGGGTTGGCGAGAGCGACCAGTTTTCGGGAAAATTCGGTACATGAATTTTGCAGGTTGCAAAAGGAAGTTTGATGTTGATGGGTACATTGCGTACATTAAGAGGTTGGTAGGCGAGCGAAAGAAACGAAAAGCAGAAACCTTGTTGTATGATGATAAGGCCACTAAGCTCCAGGGCTAGCTACCTAGCTTTTCATTGCAATCCTCATCTACAATAGCCAGAGTTTGAAACTGTGTTAGTCCTAAACTTTCTTCTGGGTTTTTGGATTGTCCCAAGAGAATCTTTGTTTCATTTCAAGGAAAAATTTGTGGGGTATATATTTGTTCTTTCTCGATTCTAGTCTTGTTTGAGAACAACATTTTAATTTAACATTGGATGAAATTTTAGTGGTCTAAAATGGAAACCAAGCCACGAAGCCCAACAACGTGTTTGTCTGTTTGATATGAAAATTTTCGCACAAAGAAAAATGATATTGGTCAATTTTTTTCTCTTCTTTTTTTGTTACCCAATATGTATTTTTGTCAATTATTTGGTAAAATAAAATAATTATGTTACTTTTTACGGAGTATTTTATACTCGAGTAGTGTATTAAGTGTAATTCTTTAAGACTACCTACTCCTTATCTCAAAACGTTTGTCACATAATGTAAAACGAAGTAAAACTTCAACTTTTTTTCAATACATTTATTTAAATATTGGTGTTGAAATAAAAAATTAATTTATATATTTATTGATTACGGAGTATATCAGAAGTTCTTCAAAACAAGAAATAACAAAAAATATTTTATTTTATTAAATAATTAATTTAAATATGTATACATAAATAAAAATTCATGATTTTTTAATAGTTATTACAAGTATTATTTTTGAAATTTGTACTATTATTTGGGATCCTCACTCCTTTTGAACCAAAGCACCCTAAGAACCCCAAATCTTGTTTTTGTTTATACGGAGGTACAAATCAGGCTTGGAGTTTGAATCCCGAATCCTCGAACCAGGAATGTCAGCAATCAGAAACGCCGCGAGATTGATCTCCGGAACCGCGCGCTTTTCTCTCGTAGGGTTTTCACCTTCGCCGCCGGCGAGGAGCGCATTCCGGTCCGCTGAACGTGCAATCAGCTCATATCCTCCTCGATGCGCGGCGGCAGCGCCAGATGCGACCCACCTCGAGAAGAAGTTGCCGCGGCGGCGACTTGGGAAGGTCTACAACTTCCTCCTACAGGACGGCAGCGGGCTCTTCGCGAATAAAGAAGTTATTCCTAAGATCACTCTAAGTACTCCGCCTCCTTCAAACTCGGTCTCCTTATTCACTCAAAAATTGGATTTCTACGTTTTCATTTCGTTCGTTCTTCTAATACATCTATATCAATGCGCTCAAGTCTACATTGTAAGACGGCTTCGAGTTAATCTGGTTTAATTTTTGGGATCCTGTGAAGAACCTAATTTGTATGGTGCAGGGAGCTCTCCATATGGAGAGCCGAGGAAGAGCACCTTCTATTTATTTGTCACACCATTGAATTTGCTTCCTCAAGAGCGAGTCTCATCTTGAGTAGGGAAATCCAATGGTGCCACAAAGAAGGTGCCTGCCATTGAAAATCCGTGCGAAGAAAGTCGTATTAGCAAACATGTTTAATTTTCAATTATCTTATTTGATTATGCTGCTTGATTGATACAGAATAATTTGTTTCAATGATCATTCGGAAAAGGTTGAACTTTGATGTCCAAGGGCTAATGCTAATTCAACTTTACTTTTGCATTCAGATCATGTTTCTGTGAGCTTTACTGGGCAAGGAGAATCTACTAGCAAGGCTAAACCCACTACAGAAGGTGATATTACTATTATAGAAATGAAAACCATGTTGAAATGAAATTTTATTTTCACTAGAAACATCGTCTCTCTTTGCAGCAAATACCAAGGCGCATAAAAAGCGTGCGAGCCCCTCCTCAAAAAAGAAGGGAAAGAACCCAAATACAAATGCAAGTGCAGGTTGTTTGTCTTATAGATAAAAAATATGCAATTGAATACTCCATATCTTTCTACACATCTAACAAACTTGGCATCTTTTGCAGAAGCCAAGCCTCGCATAAGGAGTATTAACACAGGTGTGCTTGTTTTCTTAACGTTTACATACTACTATACTAGCTCACATAATCAATTTCTATATCGATTATAGCAAAGAAGTTGCTATGCTTTTGCAGCTGGAACCAGGGTTGTTTTGCGGCTAGATGTCCAAAATGCAAGTTGGCTGAATGAAAGAGTTAGGGAGAGGATCATGTTGATGGTTAGTGCTCTATCCTTTGATTCTATGGTTATATGCATTGTGTCAATTGAGCCCTCTTGGCTGCTTAGTTTAGTGATATACTGATATATGTGCATGAGTATCAAACACTTTAACATTCATGAAATGGGATGAAATATTGTGTGTATAGTCTACACCCATCATGGCTCATCTGTAATGAGCCAGGGATCAATAAGTCGGTAACATTAAGTGGGTGCAATTCCTTGGGTGAGTTCCAGGACTTATCTTTTTCATTTGAATTTTGAATCTTACAGAAATAAACACATTTTATTCATTTCAAAGTTTTGTTGTCCATTTCTTTCTCTATTCCAACCACATTGTCCTATCATTTGGATAGGGTTGAGACTTGAGACAAATAACTAACTATTTCTTGATATCTCATGGTAATAGAACCTACTTTAATCCTTGTCCAATCGTACAATGCGCAGATGTTTTTGTCAAGAGTTGGTTAAAAAGAACCTATTAAAAATGGATTTAAAAAGTAGGTACTAAGGCATTTTCGAGTTACTTCTCTATGCATGCCAGGTCCACATAACTCATNGTAGCTGGCTGCCCTGTATGTTTGTGCAAACATCTAATTTGATTTCTCTATCCCCAACCCATTGTTTAAATCACTGCATTCTTCTAGCTATTCCAGGGAATGTTTTAACAGCTTGTTCAGTTATATTTATTGGGAAGTGTTTTCCTTTATCTTTTGCTTTAATGTGTGGGCTGCATATAATGGACTAAATCAAAATGGCTCAATAAAATTGCTTCTTATTTTCTATGAAATTTTGGGCAGCAAGGCATCAAGGGTCTAAGTTAGGGCTGGCCCTGGGGAAGTTATTGTGGTGCTAGAGCACCGGGCCCAAAAAATTAGAATGCTCAAATTATTTTTAAAGAAGTATACATACAGTAGGTACATTGTGGAAGCTCAAAAGAAAAAGGCCTAAAAACAATTGAATTCAAGAAAAATAAATACTCTGCTTGAAAGCATGTATCTCATATACCACTCTAAATATATACGGGGTATTAATTTAATTACAGTATGAATTACATTATGCTGCAGAGTGCAAAAGGCCCAAAATTTCATTTATTGCACAAGGCCCTAATTTTCTTTGGACCGGCATTGGGTCTAACCTCTAACGAAAACAACCTATGTTTTTTATAGGGGTAAGATTGCTTACATATTTTTCTCAAGACTCAATGGAGTTGGGATTATACTAGGTTTGTTGGTGCCTGGTGGTGCTATTGCATACTACTATCTCCATCTTATGTTTGGTTGCCTGTGGTTTTAATCCAACAAGCACATGAGCAGAAGTCTACTTTGAAAATTTCTTTGCAAAACAATTTTTTGGGACTTCTTTTTGTCCTCTCTTCCCCTTTTAGGCTTGATGTTCAACCGGTATCTGCAGGAAAAAGATAGGATTAAAGATGGCAAGCTCGAGCTTACTTCATCAAAGACTAGAAAACAGGAGTTAGTATCTGCCCTCTTGTGAAAGCCTTTTCACATTTCTCTTCCATTTTCAAAGAAATAATTTATCAAACAACTCTCCAGGAATAACTACGAAGAGGCTGTTTCAAAGATGAACAAACTACTAGAAAAATTTCAGGTAAAACATCTAATGGAAAAGCTCTTCTTGAGGTGTCAATTATTTATAGCCACATTCATTTCCATTTTATGTTGAATCAGGCCATTATCAATGCTGCTTCATATTCACCATTGCCTACTCCGAAGAAGGTATTGGACAAGATTGCTAATGCCTCTACACATGAAGATCACATCTTATGTGATGCCATTTGATTTCATCATTTAATTACAGTAATTGATACTCCATATTTCAACTACTAAATTTGGATGAAATTTAATCGTGTTGCAAAATAAGCCTCATTATGGCTGGCTGTTCTTTCTTGGAAATATTCTGTATAGGCCTGCATTTTACTACAACGTGGCTTTCAACTTGGCAAGGATTCGAATATGAACTGATAGTACAAGTTAGTTTAGATTGCCTGGTTCAAATCTTTCAACTCTATGCGGCAAGGTTTGTATCAAAGCATTTTATCTATAGTGAGGGTGAGGATGCATTGAGAATGACGGTTGATGTGAGAAATGAGAATGATGCTTTGTTGGTTAGTTGGAGTGCACATTTGCGTTTAAAGAAGTGCATATTTTGTAGCGGTAGAAATGTTTTGAGTCATTCACTCGTACTACGTAAAATGCTACCTTGATTTTCAAATGGTTCTTTTGTTTTGATTTTTCACTTATAATTCTTTGATCTTATTTTTTTGTTGTAAACTCATATTTTGGAGATAATGGAGAGTATCATCAATTGGGGTAAGGGTGTTTGTATGCAGGGCCAAGTTCTTAATCTTCCAAATATAGTAGGCACAAGCAGCAAATATTGCTGTAATCTTCTCTTTTCTTCATTGGACTAATGCTCTGAAGTTAATGAAGTTAATCACAGATGGGTTCAATGCTTCCCCCCTCAAAGTGATGATGACTCCAAGTATAGATCCTCATACACAACTCCTTAGTGTAGAGGAAAGTACAAAAGAGATGGTGCCTTTCTTTCTTTGCATTTTGGCAAAGCAAGTATAGAGTATCAATTAGAAACAAATTATTGAGCTTGCTTTTGATCAGAAGTTTGTTCCTACAGATCATAAAACAAATTTGTGCTTAGGGATGGAAAACTTATTCCGGACCAATTCTGACTAGTTAACTTTTTGCCTATGTCCCAATAGCTATTGATATCCAATCTTTGGGTTATAGGGAATAGATTTATCCATATCCACAAAGCAGTCTCGAGTTTGTAAAGTCTTTTTCCAACAAAACTAAGCATCTCTTTTATTTTGGAAATCCCAAATAGTACTATCTTTATGTATCTATTATGGATCCATTTGATGCATAATATCTCTTTTTCCAAAGCAATGTCTCACACCAACTTCATAATATTAGTCTTATTCCAAAGAATCAGATTTTTAAGGCCTAGACCCCCATATTTTTTAGGCAAGCAAATGTCATCCCAAGCAACCAAAGGAATTCACTTGTGATCTTGAGAAGATCCCCATAAAAAATTTCTACAAAGAGACTGTATCCTCTTCATGACCATAGGAGGAACAATGAACAGTCTACTCCAAAAGCTAATAACGCCAAAACGGACAGAATTAATCAACTTAACCTTGCCAGCATATGAACGGTTTTTAGAGGACCAAACGGTAATTTTGACAGTTATCTTCTCAATAAGTTTTTCACAATCTTTATCACTAAATATAAAAGATGTAATGGGACCACCAAGATATTTAAAAGGGAGAGAAGCTTTCTTCATGTTGGTTAAATGAATGATGGGTGTATTCCCACCCAGGATAGAAACTGGGGCCTGCAGTACAGTGATCCACTGGGTGGGTCAAAGATAAGCTCATATGATTATGCTTGTTTTATTTCAAAAACCAGTTTCTTTACATATTCTACGAATGGACAAAAGTACGAAATCTATGTAGTATTGTAGTCTCTAACAAAAAAAAATACTCCGCAGTCAAACTATCCCCAAACTTAGCAATTTCTATCATACCACCGGATAGTACAACAGGTCTTATTTTGTGCGGAAGAGAGGCCTATGGACACTCACATGGATGCTTTTGGCGGAGAAGAGAAGTGGCATGGGTGAACAACAAATGACATAGAGGTCGAGAAAGAGAATCCGATCACACGAATGAAGAGAAGCCTCGGTGAGCCAATCGACAACCAGAGGTGTGGCGAAATCGCGATTGCAAGCGAGCGACAACAATCATGGCAGTGGAACCCTAGCAGTTAGCCCTGTTGCAATCGATTGAGGTGGGGGTAGGCCTTTTGCAGAATGAGTATCGAGTTGATTCATAATGAACACTTTGAATATTATCTTTGCTTCAAAACGAATACTACGTTGTTTTAGAATACATTACGTTCTTTGTAAATGAATATTATAATTGTAATAAACAAATGTGTGAAAATGAACATTACGTTATTTCAGAATGAACGCTACGTTAATTGAAAATGAACATTTGTCGGGGATACCTAGCTCTAAGTACAACTGGTTATATGATATTCATTCTCCCAATCTTATGAATGGAAAAATCACTTAACTCATATGTATAATACAATTCACATCTATGAACATATGATGGAAAATCAATCTTCTAATATAAACCTTTTAATATAAAATTTGAGAGTTTGATTTCTAAGAACTTGACATGTGTCAACTTGGGTATCCTAATTTAATGACATCTAACCGAGACACGCGTTCACTTTTGAGAGACAAAATCACAAATTCCTCGCGAGCGCCTATTCTTCCCCTGTCCATTTTGCTTTTCTTCATCGGCAAAAAAACCCCATAGATCTTCGCCCAAATATTCAAGGAAATTCAAAAAATCCGCTAATTCTTCACGGATTCTTAGCGGATTCTTTGCCTTAATTCCGAATTCTACACCGTCAAATCGTGAACCTTGATTCTTCGCGGATTCTTCGCATGTTTGAAGATCCAGGTTTTTTCGAAAATCCCTAATCGCGAGTATTCCAAAATTCCTAATCGCGAGTATTCTCCATTGATTAAAATCTCTAACCGCGATCGCTCAGAAGATATTACTGGCTTCAAACTTAGGTTTGTTTTCAAATTTTGAACTTAATTTTTATTAAATTTGTGTAGTATCGAACAAAGTCCATTCAAAGTTACGTTTCTTTCCAAAATCCAAATTTAATTTTTATTCCTTGAAAACCTTAAAGTTCAATGCATCCACAACATTTCAATCCGTTCAAAATTAGCTATTCAGTATGTTTTTTTAAAGATCAATATCAGCAATATTATAAACATTACATTTATGGTTCTAGCCTAAAAAAAGGATCACAGAATACACTCCTTTTTATCAAACTATTGTCCTTTTAAATGATATGATACTAGCCATTTTTTTGTTGTTTGTTTACAAAATACGGAGTAACACGAAACATACATATTATTTTGACATATATTCCGAACTATTTTATTTTTGATCATATAATTTTTTTGACCAATTTTGGCCAGCGGAGTCATATCATGCAATCTTTTTAATAATTGGAAATTGTGAATATTGAAACAAATATTCAAATTGGATTTTTTTTATTGTGACCAATTTTTTATGTAACATGTATTTGAACAAATTTAAATTAGATTTTATCTATGCTTTCTTTTATTTTTCATTTTTTTACATATTGCAAAATGTTATTTCATTGCAGGTGAAGAGAATGGGAGAGCATTTTCGACATGTAGGAAAAATGTTATTATTACATTACAACTTGAATTTTATAGCACGAAAATGTTATTGCCTGCATTCTGCATGTGGTGTTTTAAATGTCACCCCAAAGTTGAGTTTTTCTTCTGTTGGCTTTCTTATATTCACCTTTGTGTTACTTCGGCTAGAATGCTTGTTAATTTTTTTTGTAGATTTCTAATCCAAATCTCTGTTAAGGATGATTCCCGTACAATCACATTCGTTTTATTTGACAGAAGATAACATGACATGTGACTAAACTTCAATTTTATATAGAGTTGGTATAATACATATGTAACATATTTCATCAATTAATATTTTTTTTTTTTTGATCAAAAAGGAGGGGAGACCCCAAACTAACTCAGTTGCACTCTACGAACTCTGGTAGCACCCATCATGTCATCAGCAATGATGTCATCCATCCCAGGCGGAGGGTCCTCGTGATCTATCCAATTTGCCTCCTGAAAGGTTCCAATTGTAGCAAGGCGATCAGCCGCAAAGTTTTGCTCTCGAAAGATGTTTTTGAACTCAAGCCTTATAAACTTTCTTTGCCAGTTATGCTTAATCTCATCAATGATATCGCGATTAGGGCCCCTAAGAGAAGTGCAGTTGGCCATCCACTTTATAACTTCACTCGCGTCTGTCTGAACCTCAAGTTCCTTAACACCCTTTTCCCAAGCCCACTCAATGCCTCTAGCAATTGCCATGACTTCCACTGACAATTCATCAATTAATATTGCATGATATAAACACAAACTCTGTAATTAATTTGTATACTACATTCCACGTGTGATCGAGAGGAATATTTTTTCCGTTGCAAATCAAGATCTTAAGTCTTTTTCGATGTGTCACGCGAGAAATAACGATGTAAAATTGATCATTAACTATGTTTAAAAATGCACACCTATTATTTACTTTATGCTTCCTATATTTGAGAAGTTTCTCCTCATTGGCCGTTTTTTCATCTTCCATCAACATAAAGCCATCATTTGTTAGCGCGAACCTTTGATCAGACTCAGGAGCTGCTGCATTGGAAGGGGGGGATCACTATAAAGATTTCTCTTTTTTAAAAGGTAGAAGAGAAGATGATAATGTACATACCACAACAAAAGTTTAATTGCTGTATAATGGATTACTCTATTCAATTCTCAAAAAGCTTGAACAAAAGTTAATGAGCCAAATACTGTAAAAGGTAAGGTTATTCACTAATGAAGCATAATAAAGATTGCTACTTCAAGACCTATGTTAAAATGATAAGAGAAATGAAAAAAATACAGTAAAATGTTGTAGTATTACTTGGTTTGCTTTTGAAAATTGCAAAAGTGAGACTAGTTTTGGTTTGGTTTTTTAGTTACATTGAAAGTTAATTTTGGTTGGTTTCAAACAGTTTAGTTGGTTTTCAAAGCATAAACCTTAAATACACATTTTTTAAAGTCCTACTTTAAGAGCACAAACTATTGCACAAAACTTTTAAGCAATTGTTAAATACCTTTATCCCATTGAACATGAGTAATAAACTCAAAAGTAGAAGTCACATTATCCCCGAGCATGAGCATCTTGATTCTTGACATAAACGGCCAACAGATGAACAGAAAGGAGAATATCTGAAATCATATTCCATTTAGGCCCATCATTTTACTAGTAAGTTCTAATAATGAAAATGCCAACATATCAGCTCAAACAAAATAGTATGTCCAAAGAATAATATTAGAACTTCCTCTAGGGTCTAGGTTCTAGCTATCAAGTTTTGTATGCCACTCCTTATTGCAATGAATCTGCCAAAGTACAAATGTTGTAGTGTTCAAACAAAATCCAGAGCATATATCACCAAATTTTAAAAAAGTGAATACCAAAGGATGCAAATCATGCAATGTTATATAATGAGTAAATTCCATAAAAGGTCCCCAGTTATAGGTCGTTTTACATATTTAGTCCCTACATATCAAATATTAATAATTTAGTCCTCAATTATTATATCATTTTTTACGAATGGTCCTTTGTTAACGTTTTTGTTAAGAACATGGATAAAATTGTATATTCATACTTCTCTCTCTCCTCAATTAAGCTTCCTCCCTCCTCTCGTACTCTTTCCCAAATTCGTCGCTGAGTTTGAAGCTCTAAACCCAAAATTAAAATGATCACTCCTCTCTTAAAATGAGAATTCAAAAGAAACTACTTCTACATGGCGCGATGTTATATTGCATATCTTAAATTCTCCCACCGCAAAGAACCATTTCCCACTAATTGAACTTCACACAACCACAATGTATGTACTTAAAAGAGAAAAAGCAAATGAGATGAGGAAAGGAAAAAGGAGAATTGAGGGCAACAAAGGAAAAAACCAATATTCTTTCCAAATCCTTGCTTGAATAACAATTCCTAAAAGATAACTGCTTGTGCCATAGCTGAGGACAACAATGCTTATTGCTAATTGACCAATACTTTTCAAAGTAGATAGCGATATATAAAAAAATTGTCATACCATAGTTATTTAAGGCGTGATGCGCACCGATGAACACACTATTCTCCAGTCCTCTGCCTCTTCCCTAGGCAGAGGCTGTCCTCATGCTCCAAACCAGTACTCCGTTTCTGGGCAGCTCCATTCTTTTCTCCCTTCAAATCCTCAAGTGCCCTGAAAAGACGTTTTGCCTCCGGGCGTTCGGCTGGACATTTATTCAAACAGGCCATCACATTCTCGTAGCTTTAACGCCAACATTGCTGTCTTCGGCGAGGCATTTGTCCACGAGATTCTTCTCGCATTTATTAGCAAGTTGCTGTGTAGCCCAATCCTTCAAATCATCATATCTGCTTTCTACACTGTGCTCATGCTCTTTACTTATCAACTCTAGAAGCAGGCAACCAAAGCAATATATATCACACTTGGATGTCCATTCCACTGCAACACTCATTATATATTCACCACAAGACTTGTCAATCACTCAGTCATTATTCCAAGTAAAACGACAAACAACAAAACAATTTTATAAAATGGACACATGACATTCACTTATCCCCATACAGTGTGAACCAGGTCTGCACAGGTCCAAAGTGTTGGGGTATCTATGAATACTGAATAGCAAACCACAACCAAACAAGAACACACACAAACCAGAAATCAAAACGGAGAAAAACGGAACACAAGATTTATAGTGGTTCGGTCGGCTGACCTAATCCACTTTGCAACTAGGGTTTTTATTATTCAAGTGCTCACAGAATTACAAGTACAGAGATCCTTATTTATG